CGCCTGTGCTAGAAGGCGAGAACGAGTAAATGCTACTTGTGTGAGTGTAGCGTTGTCAGTTGTAGGAATCTTGTTGGGTGCGGACATCGGCTACGGGCTTAACGGTACCTGCGGTAACCCATTCCGCGGCACAATCCGTGTTCTGAGATGATGCTAAACGATTCCAACTGGAAAAGGGGTCGAAACAGTTGTGTCGCGGCAGACTCCGGGTATGGTGTTTCAGATATGGTTCCGTGATCTTGGTCTTGAAGGAGAAGTTTCAGCAACCTCCAGGTCAAAACCCCATTGGTAGAAGAACATATTGTTTGACTTATATCACGACGACGGCTCTTTCATCTGACATTTAATTTATAAAATCAGTACAAAAATTAACATAACAGTCGAGAAAAGTTGAGTTTTATAGCGTTGCAGTTCCGTTCATTGCAAGTAAAAGTAAAGTAAAAACTTCTAAAACAACTAGCGACTTTCAAACGTTCGGCCGATTCTACTCTAGTTTTATTAGCGGGTCCAATACCTCTGAGTCTGATAAGTCATCTTATGAATGCGGAGTACGTCGGTTGCCCTAGGTATTCCTCTGAGTATAACTTCTATTAGACTTAAACGTCTCAAATTAGATTAATTATTAGCGTTAACTTGAAGATCTCTTAGTCTATTCTTTGGGTGTTATGTTGATGCAAAGAAGTGACCAGGAGATGATTTCTTTGTTTGGATACGTAAGTGAGGCCTTAAATTGAATCCTCCTGTCGCTAGTGACCAAATCTACAGATAGATAGAATATTGAAAACAGGCGTTGGTCAAGCTGGGGCACTGATGAGGGAGTCACATGGTCATCAAGAGCCTGACCCTTCTGTTGACTAATCAAAATAAATACAGAGTAATGGTTTCGTCTCGTCTGGCGACAAACATGTGTTGTCTGTTTGGTATTATTTGTGTCATTCTGTTCTCTATGCGATCCAATACAAGTCAATAACATGAGATAAGGTGCGGCACTGTTTTGTGTTTTAATTCGCCAAACAAGTGGTTGGTCATCTTCTCTTCTGGAAACGCTTCAAGATGCACAGATGCTACATCTCATGTGGTACAACAAGCTAAGGAGTATTTATTCCTTTAGATGGCGTACTCATCATTAGTAAAACTCAACTTTCAACGTCGAATAAAAAACAGCTGAAAAGTAATAATAAGCATGTCACTTCCGAGGCCTGATGGATCGCTTGCTCATAAGGGTATGGAAAAAGCGCACTTGTTTGCGACAATTTTGTCAACAATTCTGGCAGTCTCATCTTCAATTGGCTCTCGAGACGAACTCTGATCGAGATCAGAATCATCAGAAAAGTGGTTTTAAGAGCATTGCGTAATCTAGTAACTAAGCTGTTGCATAGCAAGGTGCATAACGAGATGATCTTTTATCGTACCTTCAGACTGAGGTTCAGAGTTCAGCTTGGACCGCCATCAATAGAATAAATGTTTGGTAAAAGTTATCTATAACATCTGTTATTTCTTTTTATGCTTTATGCAAAGAGTTTAATCTGTGGTTTCATGTCGTGACAACTAAATAACCTCTAACAAGACTGATTTTTTTATCAATTTTTACGTAGGTATTTAATTTTATAAATAAGTGTATTTGTTTGCTTTTCTTGCAAATAATTCGTTGCTGAAGAAACAGTAAGTGGTTTCTTTTTATCTTTTTATATAATTTCAATTCATCAACTTACATTTTGAATTTATATTTAAAATAATTATAATTAATCTAGTAAAAGACTACAAACAATATTAACGCTTTAAATAGGTGTTTCTGTATACCACGATGATTTAAAAACATTAAACAATGTTATACTTTTAATAGATGCAGCTCGGTTAAGCTTAGGTATAGGTTTGTTTATATGTAATGTATAAAATAAAAATAGCCTCATACACATGTAATATTTGCAATACATTACCAAAAGTTTTTTTCTTGATGTATCACTTGTATGATAACGATTTACCATTTGAAGATGGCTTGCTTTATTTTTTACCCCATTTAGCATGTTGCAAATAAACATTTCAATGATTTTATATTCTTAGCCCCCTGGATTTTTTAATTTTTTAAATTTGTCACACAATTTTCATAATGTATGACACAAATTTTAGGCTGTCTACATCAGTTGAGGTATAATAATTGGTTCGATGTTAGCTATTATTATCAAATTTAATTTTCTAATCACAAAAGCAAATAAGAACTAAGCACATAACATAATGAGAAAAGAATAAATTCTCAAGTTATACATATTAGTGATGTGCCGGGTCAATAAAATTGTAGATTCGCGGATACGGATCATTAACGTCAATATCCGCGGATACGGAATATAGATCTTAACTTAATATCAACATTAGTGTATTCACCGTCCTTGATTTTGTCTGATTCAAAGGATAAATTAGATTTTAGTTTTTCAGAAATTGATGAAAAATATTGTTTAAAGTAGACAAATTTTTACATCCATGGATCAAAGTAAAAACAAAATTGCTTACAACTTTGGAAAACTAAATAAATCTCACAGCAGTGATTTTTGAGTCTAGAAAAGTCCATGGCTAACATGTTAAATAGTGATGATGATGATGAATATTAAATAACAAAAACTCAGTTGCTCATACAGTATATATCAGAAAAAAGATTATCAAGAGAGCCACGATCCACTAAAGTATTGGCAGATTAACAGTAAAAAGTTTGTTTGAGGTAGCCGGAGCCCGATTTTTAAAAGGTTGTCAACGCATCTGTAACCCTCGGGTGTAGCAGATGTCCATGGGCAGCGGTATTCACTTAACATCACGTGCCCCGTCTGCTTGTTTGGCAACTTTTGGCATAAAAAAAAAAGAAAAGAAAACATGATACAAATACTCATTTTGGGTAAAATACATTTATTAAGCCTTTACAATTAAAACAAAACCTTTGTTATTTTATTTAAATATAAAACAATTTTCTAGCAATAATTATTATTTATTAGAGTTAAAATTAGTGCTGCAAAATAATTAAAATTATTATTAAAAATTAACTACTGCAAAATTGGATCTCACAAATAATATTTTAGATGCTGTGATTTCCTGAAAAATGTTTTTGTAGGAAAGATGCGTCAATAATGTATACAACTGTGGTAGGGCCACAGTTGTATACCGAGGTGAAGTAGCCGGCCCATTTTATTAAAAGGTGGCAACTGTAATTAAAATGTGAGTATAGAGAAGAAAATTGAAAAATTGTTTTGTCTGTACACACATCTTAACTGAGACAACAACTTATAAATAAAATATTAATTCTAAACCATTCTGCAATCCACTTGAACACACTAAAAAATTCGTCAAAATCTGTCCAGCCATTTAGGAGTTCATTCACATACACAAGCACAGAAGAATTGTACATAACTAAGGATAGGATCTCATTTTTATAACATCATAATTACTATTGCCTTAAAGTGAGATAGAGTGAGTATGATATCTGCTACTATAGGAACATTTGCAGATTGTTACTGTAATAATTTGTCCTGTACATTAATATTTTTGGGCCAATATTAATATGAATGAGAGATTTAATGAAATTTGAAATTACAAACAATATTACAATAATTAGATTTTATCATAGACATTACAAATAAGATTGATGTTATCCATATACACCTTGAAATAAATTGGATATTACTTAGTTGGGTTTATAAAGTATCATTATAAAATTTTCTTAAATTTTTGACTAAATGTATAATTATGTAAAATACTTCTTAAAAAATTATCTTAAATCTTTTTAATGGAATGTTTTTGCTCACTCATCGGTGTACAGTTTGATTGGAGCGACCTGGCCTAAGACCTGTGTGGCGTCAGTGGCAATTGTTGTAATTTGATAATTTACTGTCTTAAGAAATTTTCGTGCACATAGAAATTATGTCCTGAGACAATACTCATCAAGTTAATATGATGGCTGTATTAAACTGTTTGTTGTGTAGAAACTGTTATTGAAAGTAAAAGCATGCATTTCTTACAAAGTTAATCATTGATTTTTAACTCTGAAATATGATAATTTTCATATACCATGGGAATGTTATGTTGAAATTGACTTACAGTGAAGATGGTGTTACATTCCCTTTTAACCTCCCCATAAAAGCGCCTCATATTCCGATTTCTTAACTGTTCATGCAGTTCGATTATGGAACTTGCTTCCACCGAAAGGGAGACTAATCAGGGAAAACTATATTGATTTTTATTTTTATTTGTGTATTGATATATTTATAATTTTTGCTAATACGTGTATTATAATGAATGTAAGTACACCATTAACTATCATTCGTGACCAATTTCCAGTTTCAGGTCTGCTGGAAGAAATTTATAAAGAAATAAGTAGGATTTTTGTACAAATCGTCTCATGTAATTAACATGTATTTCATAATAGCGCTCGCCCGGGCTTCGCACGGGTGCAATGTATTATGCATATAAACCTTCCTCTTGTATCACTGTACCTAGTAAAAAAAAACCGCATCAAGATCCTTTGCGTAGTTTTAAAGATCTAAGCATACATAGGGACAGACAGACAGCGGGACGACTTTATTTTATACTATGTAGTGATTCTTTGTGTATATAAATTATAAATAAATAAAAAAATGGTGTTTCTAAATCATTATTGCTAGTAGCGATTGGATGGTTGACACTGTTTTAGAAAGTGGAGTTGGTGATGACAGTGACTTAGATTTGGTTTAGCAGATTTGTCACTTAAGAATTACACTGACTAACGCCCAGTTCGTTAAGAGACAGGAAGTGAGATATTTTATTGCAACATCTTTAAAACGTTTATTGTTAAACGCATCCACTAAAGAGTATGAAGTATTCAAAAGTAAACTGATTTATATATCTTAATGTTACGCTTCATAGAATTTTACGAAGGTAAATATCAAACAGCTAACCGAAGCCTTTATTGTATCTCTGAGCTTGCCACATGCAGCAATAGCAAGGGACAAAAGATTCGGCGCTCTCCGAAGGTTGTGCGGGAAATGGGCGCGGGTGGCAGGATGCGGCGGGCGGGCGGCGCATCCGCCCTGCGCCGCAAGCGGCAGTCGCCCGCCGCCGTGCTTTCGGCCGGCCGCGACGCAAGTAACGAAACCCCGTCGCAAAACAATGTTTCTCGATTAACTACCGCATAAGCAATAACGTCTATTTCTACTCTCGTTATTCATAGAAATATATATCAAGTTGTTCCCATAGTAGATGTTGAAACTCTCAGAGTATATCGTTCCATGTTTGACAGATAGAGTTTTATAAATTAAATCGTCAGTGTAATTATGTTCAAAAGTTGCTGCGCAAGACCGACTAAAAAACTGAACAAAAGCAAATCGAATCCCGAAGACATGGCCTCACTGTCCGAAATGAACGCGCAGGACAAGGAGAATGTGAACGAAAACGACAACAATGGGAAGGGCGAATGTGAAACAGAGTACAGTCCTGACCTAAAGGGAAACGTAAGCGGCCAGGAGATAATAATCAAAGTCTCACCGACAACGATATATAGTATCGAGGATAACAAGTTTTCGGAGGATCCGCTCAATTATGACACAGAAACTGATGACGTTGACCAGATGGTGCCGAAGAGGGATACAGTCAAGAAGCGATATTCGGTCGATTACAAGAGATCACGGATGGATTTCAAGAGGTTCTCCGTTGACTGTAGTCGTCAGACTGCCACGCTCGAAGAGCTCGCTAATCTGGAAAGGGAGCTGGCCCGTACAAACGTGGATGCGCGCTCAACAAGTAGACGAAAGTCCGCCGGAATCTTGAAGTCCACTACAAGCAGCAATGACGTGGGTGAGCAGCGTTCCACGTGCGGCCAAGAGCTGTGTTCGGATGATGACGATGTGTTCGAGAAGACCGTCGAAGTCGCCGCTGAGCACGAGCGGCCCCGAGAGCCTCCGGCAACCCCAGTAGGCCGCGACGAATTGGCTCTGAGGAGGCACAGGTTCTTTTCCGATCTCGTTTGCGCGGCACGAGCGGCTGTGGAGCATCGCGTGCGTTTCGACCCATTGGGACCTATCGTAGCGGATGGTGAGTTTGGAGTTAGATAGAAGAACTATCTTTCATTAAAATAGAATTCCGAACGATACTGCTGCCATTTAAAGTCAACTTTTCTAATCCGTAACGAATATGGAATTAAAAACAAACTAAAGAAATGAAAATTAAATTCTCTATAACTTCTCATATTCGAATTTTTGAACTTTTTCTTGTGATGCGTTGCGATTAAGTGGCAGATTGATCTCTTAGCAAGTGATCGGTATGTATGTTCGATGGAATCTATTTTATTTCATTGTTCATTAATAGGGAAATAATTGAATAATAGAATTAATAAAAAAGATTTCAGCCAGGTTGGCTGAGGTCCAAGTAGGCCATCCCTTTATCTTAAGACCATTAAATGTTTTGTATTCGTTATGAGAGTATATTTATTGTATAAGTAAAAAATATTTTTCGTTCACAAATAGGCTTGTTCTTAAGTAATTTTCTAAGTGTTTATGATAAACGCAGTTGTTTACTAGGTGTTTCTTACTTTCCGCCTATTCAGTGTCCCCCTCATTTATTGCTGTAAAAATTTGCTGAATGCTGGAACTTAGAAGCTGGTTAAATTAGATTAGCTGGTTAAAACAGATTAAAACTACATTATATTAAGCCATTACTTTAAGACAACTTTTTTCCCGGCAATTTATTTTCTAGAAAGCAGTTTGAAGCATGAAAAATATTAAAAGCTGCACTTTTTTTAGTTCGCTACGGAACGTTTTTACTTTAGTACTTGTAAAACTATGACTTCTAGCGAGTATTTAAATTGATGTCAAACGCCGCTTTACTAAGAGTTCCCAGTCGCTCGCCGCGGTGCACTTGTGAGGTGAAAAATGCAAGATCGTTGTAAAAGCCGCTAACATTTCGTACGCTCAACACCGTCACACTCCCATGAGCTTCCATTGCTGCCAACATCCGAGATATTTCATTCCACTCAGCCGATGTCGCTCTGCGAAAAACTACATTGTTATTAAGTTGAGAGCTTTTTTATGCGAACTAACGAGGACGTATTCCATTAGGATTTACGGCCAATAAAGGTTAATACTTCACTACATAGTATAAAACAAAGTCCCGCTGTCTGTTTGTCCCTGTGTATGGATAGATCTTTAAAACTACGCAACGGAACTTGATGCAGCTTTTTTTACTAGACAGAGTGATTCAAGGGGAAGGTTTATATGTATAATACATTGCACCCGTGCGGAGCCGGGGCGGGTCGCTAGTACAATACTAATACTTCAAATTCAGTCGTTTGCGTTTAATGCAGAGACTGAAACCATCTTGCCAAATTTTTTAAAAAGCTCAGAAACACATGAATCCAAAAAATAAAGTAGTATACAAGGGAAGCAGAAAAATTGTAAATGGAAGATAATTATTATTTAAAAATTTTATAATTATAAAATTAATGGATTTTTCTATCGACGGTAATACTTCAAACTCAAATTCAAATTCGTCGCTTTTAATTATGATTTTAACTTCTCTACTTTTGAAATAATTGGTATTCATAGTAACGGGACGGAAAATTACGTAAACCAATAGGCCGATTTTTGTACATCATTGCCATAATTAAAAATAGAAATCTTTTTTATGCTTACTGCAGTTATTTCGATTCAATGGGATGCAACTGCCGAAGCGTTACGGTAGCGCGTGCGGTAAAAACTTTTCTTTAATTATAAACAACGCGCTTGTTACAGAAATCGTTTTTATCGATTCGCATCGCTTCTCGGCTTTATTGTTGCGAATGATTATGTTGTATCACGGCGTAAACAGTAAGCTCGCCCCGAAGCGGTAAACAAAGCTGTTTTCTTAGCAATTCTATATTAGTTTGTCCACTTGTTTGTGTTTGTTGTTCGCTCAACCACGTTTTTTGTCTTTCTCATAAGGGCCGTGATAGTACAGCGTTCCGGCGCTCGCTTTTAATTAAATATACTCGAGCAATCCGAGTTCAAATCCAGGTCTCGTCACCAATGAAATTGTTGAAATGAAACTGTTAATCGCCATTATGAGTGCTGAATTATCATGTGTTTTACAGTGAAGGAAAACATCGCGAAGAAACTAATTACTAACAAGAAATATATATATCTCGACAGACTGGACTATAAGTTGACTATGCCATAGCCCATAATACCCTTTGTAAACGCAGAGGAGATCTTAGCCTAGCAATGGGAAATATATAGGCTGTTACTTTACTACTTTTTTTTACAAGATTAGTAGGGCCATGAATCTATGCCGTTGTTCACAGAAAGTATTCTCGATTTTAAGATGACTGTTTTCATTCGGAACAGCAAAATTGTTATTAAATTTATTCGCCCAATTTTAACATGCTGACTAGAGTCCGTCTTCTTTTGTTGTAGTAACTAAATGCATAAAAATTATTTTGATAAAATCGCTTTGAATCTTTCCGATATATGGTTATAACTAATACATATTCATACACGCAGATCCGGCCCGATGAATTGAAATTGACACAAAATTTCATTTTAATCTTTAAAATAATTATGTAACAGTAGAAACTTTCTCCATGTTAAAGAAGTAGGGGCATAATAACTATAGCTATGATTTAATTTTAATTCATTAAGTGTTAATATTTTCAATAATTTGCTTAGGTTAATATTATTTATTTAACATGAAACCAAAGTACAAATTTATGCAAATTAAATCACCGATTAAAGGAGAAAGACAATCTCGCTCTACCCTGATCAAAGAGCACTGCTAACTCGTTTCATAGCAGATTATCAGTAAAATAAATTAGATAATACTGTATGCATTCTATTTGACTTTTTGATTGCGGCATAAGCCTTTTGTTGTTCGTTTCATCGATTATTCTTATGCTATCAAACGTTCGACGCGTCACGAAGATGAGTCATTGAAGGGAGTCATAACAGTGCGGACATTCGGCCTCCGCTGTGTAGAGTTGAGAATGGTTGACCGGCGAGGCGGCTCGCGGCCGGTCTCTGAATCACTGTAGCATCCGCCGACCGCTCCCTCCAGTACACGCCGGCGCGCGCGCAATACCGCACGCATACATTCGCGCGAACCGTGTGTCACCACCAACTGTGCTAAGACTCTGTTGACCCTGCTGTTCTGTGCCTCTTTGACTTAGGACTTGCGGTAAGTGTTACGCTTCGATCGTTCGTCAGACGCGAGCATCGCCCCGCTAGCTCGTTATAACAGCGGATTCCAGTTAACTACGTGTAAATTGTAGCGTTTCTAATACATTAGGTCGGTTTGCGTGTAACTATTAATAGGATCGTTCCTAATGTCGGAGCTAAATCCAGTCATTGTCTCATCCCCATGCTGATGATAAGCGCTGTGTAAATATTTATTTATAAACATGATAACACTCATGAGTACGTATACATTATCATAACACTTATTGTGCGCCGGATGTATCTAAAGTGGTGTCATTCATTTGTCCCTAGTTTTTGTGGAGTTGAAAAGCTTGTCAATAACAAATTCGACGCACGCTGTGAGTTCGTTACATTCTATTGTAAGTTATTGAACTGTTATACGTAATGGATTGACATTCAATTCACTGTACCAAACCTATGCACAATCTGTATCTATAAATACATACACGAGTCCGATAAAGGAACTTGTTATCCTAAGAAACAAACAAGTTCTATTGTAAACAGGGCCAGGTAATATGTGTAACAATAAATAGGTATATTTATTTAGGTCATAATGAATGTATAAGGAATGATTACGATTTACTGTTAGGCTATTGAATGTTAGACGATATTATTTAAAACACGTTGTGCGTCTTGATGAAATAATATTGTATGGTTGCTATTAACCTTTGGAAATATTTTCTTGGGCTTTTAAACACTTGTTATAAAACGTCAAAGGCAAAATATAAAACTTGAAATTCTGTTGATAACGGCATGCGCTGATTCTTCTACCTGCTGATTCTAATCTGAAGGGGGAATAAAACGACCATAACTTGTCGACCCTTTGTTGCTTATTTTAATTATTCGCTCCTTATAATTCAATTTGATTAGTAACAAAAACACAATATTTACAAAGAGAGATATAAAGGGTCCATCCCTCTTTTTCAAATGAAAGAAAACATTTTATTTTTATTTTTAAACTGACCCTTCTATATATGACCACATAAAGAGACATGAAGAAATTAGGCATGACCCTATGTATCCTCGATGATAAAATGTAGTTAGAATCATCCCTAATATAGAGAATAAAAATTACTAGGAAAGTTGATCCGCCGCAGGGTATATTATCCTTTCTGATAGGCGGTTGTATAAAATCAGCCTACCCTGGCTACAAAGCTGTTGCAGGTTAGATATAAGTACAATAATGAATTACACCGCAATCGAGTTTTTTAAAAATACACGGTTTCCAACAGGCCCACAAAGGCTTTTAAAAATATCTACATATAAATATTATGTAGAAATTAAAGGACGTTGACTTGTATTTCACATCAGGTCATCATATGTTTATTATCCCTCTGTGGGTTTATAACTATAATCGTATAATGTAACACATTCTCAGCACATGTCTGCTTTAGCTTTATTTATCGTCGATGTCTTCACAAAAATGAGAATAATCTTCTCGCCATTGTGTAGATTAAAAATAATTAACTTAATAATGCTGTGCTTTTAATTTATTCATCATCGCGAACTGTTATTCAATGTCGTTTTTTGGTTTTAATAATTGATAATGACAAAATATAATTTGAGATATTAGGATAGACTTTTTTTTCCTCTTTATTTTGGTGATTTTTATAAATTTTGAGATGATAAAGTGAACGTTTTAAATGAACTACCTGAAGAATCCGCTAACATTAATTTTTTCAATAAAAGTTTAATGCCCTTTAAGATAAAAATTGTGAGACACGTTGAATATTATATCTCAAACAAAATATATAGTATTCATCTTTAAATTAACCTTTGGGATGTATAAATAAGATAATTAATTTTACGGACTAATATCACATTTTGATTTATTTTGCATTTGCATTATGGTTCCGGGTCAGACTCAGGTGTTAACTATGATAGTTAATCTTGATTACCTTAATTTTTTTAAATGTGTATTCGCGTAAGTGTAATAAAGCTTTATAATGTAGTTATTTCTTTATAATATAGTAATTAATGCAATGACGTTGAACGCAAAGTCTGGGCTACGGGGGTAACCTAGACTTTGCGTTCAACGCCACTTTAGTTTTTTATATTAATGCTGATAAAAAAACTATTTGAATCATCGCTTTAAGCATCAAAAAAATCTTAATAATTTGCATTTACAAGTGTATAATGTAGAGCTATACATTAAATGTTAAAATACTTTTAAACTCATTGGTTTTACGTTTTAATTATAATTTCTGTGAATGCACGCCCTTATTTTACTAATGATAAACAAAGCAATTATTTGCTATGATTACCATAATTATACACATTTATATCATTAGTGAACACAATGAGTGAATAACTAATTTTAATGTTAGTTAGAACAAATTATATTTGCGGGCGCTTACTATCGATTTTTACTTATTTCATATATTTATAAATGTCTTATATTAAGAAATCGTCAAAATGGAACGTGATTATTATTGACGAAATTATATATTTATAGAAAAAGTATTCTTAACCCGTTTGGCAAATCTCCCATAACTTACATGACAATATTATGTATTAAATATAGTACTGGAATCTGAGAGACGACATCATTTCACCAACGCCGCGCTGTACATGCCTCTATATAATGTATTTTCAGTTTGTATTTCTTAGTAGACTTTTAATTCGTTTTTTTCAATGTCATCCTGTGCGTTATTTTAATTAATGCAGCTCGCATCATGTTTTAGGACGTTCGTGATTCGTTAAAAATGCACGAGTTTCTCGTTTAGTTGAAGGATTTGAAAAGTAGAGCGAGCTGAGAGGACCACTTATTTCTCGCTGGGCGCAACTTGCCTTAACCACAAAAGTCCCCTCTTATCCTTGTCTCCGGTGTCTGTTTTGCGGTGATAATATATCAAAACTTTATAAATTTGATACACAACTAAACTAAAGATTGATATACATCTTCGAGAACCCAAATAAGTCGATCGCAGCTCATGTGAACCGAGCGAAAGTTTTTATCACTTTGTAGTTGCCGATAGACTGGTCTTTTCAGCTGTATATGGGTAGAGAGTCAAACGAGTCTGTAATCGATGCTATGGCCAATATAAGCAGGCAGAAACGGTACATATAAAGCGTGGTACAGAGAGCTTTCATGGTAGCTGGCGGATTATATATCTTTCTACGGATTATGGACTATGTGATCTATACACATGTGATAGACTGTTTTGTGTTGTAACGTTCTATAAATTTGATATTTTTGCTGACGGAATGCTTGTTAATCAATGATGCTTAATAATATGACGCGTGACCATACTGCGCGGCGTTTAAAAATTGTACAGCTTTACATTATATGACCTAAATAATTGAATGGTACAGATTATGTAGAACGTATGATGTGTAAAGGGATAGCAGTCTATAGACTTGCAATCTAATTACACCAATGGGTTAAATTGAGTGCCTCAATTTCGGTGCGCTAGTGTAATCAATATTTTTTTTCTTACGAATGTAATCAAAAATACGGATTAACATTTAAATAATAATGTTTATTTTATTCTAAAAAGTAGTAATTCCCAAATTTGTGATTATTTATGTCAGTAAACCCTGACATAAGTTTAATTAGAGGTCATATTAAATTCAGCTGCCCGCAACTGCTTAATAACTAAAACTGTAGGTAATTTCAACAAAGGCCAGGTTCACTGTATTAAAATTTTAATATAAGGGGAATGTCTCCTAAGCAATATTTTCGCCCATTTCGCTGAACTGTTTGTTAAAATCACATTATATTAAAACACTTTCATAAACATTTTATATGTAATGCTTTCAACTGTTCAAAATAAAAATGTCTAAAATTGTTATCTCATAGGCTATAATTTATAAATTACAAAAGAATAATAAGTTAACGTGCTAAAAAGAAACTAGAACAAAACACGATCAAAAAAACTTATGTGTAAATAATTTCAAATAGTTCATAAAAGTATTAATTTTAAAATTAATTAAATTAAAAGTAAGTTGAGGGATACATTGAGAACAAAGATTTGTGAAAAGGACTAGCTCTGCACTTGTTGCTGCTGATTTTATACTTAAACAATTTTGTGTACTTGTATCGCTGAAAAAAAATTTGAGTTCTTGCCGGTTCATTTCTGGTCAGGTCTAGTTTAATGAACCGACGGTAGTTTTTAACGTTCAATAAGAGCTTAAATTAAGCCTATATGGAGTAAAGAAATTTTGACGTAATATCGTATTCTTCCTTTAGTTGCTATACACATGTCATTAGATCTACAAAATGTAATCTCAATTTACTTTATATGTTCAGTAGAATTTCACTAATGCACTGGGTCATAATGGAATACGATGATGAAAATAAAAAATACTATCGTGAAAATTCCATTTACGAATAAGCAGCAAACAGTACGGTTCATTTCCACAATGAATTCCTCAATCCATTATAAGACATCCCGGCATAAGCTTCCTGCAGTTGCCTCGACAAAAGGTCGTATTTTCCTAGTTTAGTTTTTCATGCCTAGCATGTCGGTTAGCAATTTTCTTAAAGTGGTTCTATGTAATTTTATTTTAAAACGAAAAGTACGATGCTTTCTTGCGGTCGGTCATTTGATCGATTCAACCTTTTAAGTGTTTCGAAGTTATTTCAATATTTTAATCAAATTCAGGTAAGTTAACGCCTTTCTTATATTCTTTTTATTTCTTTAACACTAGCTGAATTACAAATTGCAATACACCAATTAAGAACGATTCAAATGGTTTGTTAAATAAAGCCAACCGGTTTATTTATTGATGTTTATTGCAATAAACCTATTTAAAGTAGAATATTAAGGTTTGAACGAAGTTATTAAAATTTTCCTTATTTGTTCACTAAATATATTTTTTACCTCGTTCATGCAAAACGACGACCGATAAAAGTTGTACGTCTCAGTGTTTTATTATGGAATACGATCATAAGTTTTTGTTACATGGCTTCATTTTTATGGAAGTCAAGTGAATTTTACAGCAATTAACCACAGGCGCCCGCCTGGCTGATTTACAGTTTTAGCATCGAGCTTGTATAGTGGTTCGCAAGTCTTTCTTTATACTAACACTCAAGCGTACTTGAAGTAACTGTACAGAGTTATTATCTAAGTACGTGTATAGTTTGATAGCTCGTGTTTGTACATGTTCGAACTTTATTCGCTAAATAAATTCGATAATTCATTATTGCAGAGGCATATAAAATACCTCGGTTGCTTTATTTATTAGTTACATAATTTATAACTTTTACCGTTCAAGTTTTGCTTTAAGAAAGAACAAGAACAAAACTTACTTTTGTTTTAGTCAAATTGTTGCGTTGCGCGATAAGCATTTAGGCAGGTCTGCGGACGATCGTAAACACAATTGTGAAACAGTGTAAGTCATTAAAACTAACCTTGGCCCCGTATTCCTGTAACTGAAATAAACGGGCCCTCTAGCGATTTGAAACTAATTTTTACTATGCAAATTTATTGCTGTAGCTACATTTTCGACTATATTTGTATAATTATATTGTAAATCTATACAGATCAATAATATTGGAGTGTCTGTTTGTAATTTTAAAATAACCGCTTTTTACTAAATGCATATGGATGTTTCTTTCTTTCTGGTCGTTTTCATCATGTCTGATGATCGTGGTTGGCGGTCGTCGTTCTAGCACGAATGAGATCTCTCCATCGATTCAGGTCCATCGCGGTCCTAACCATATCGCAGAAATTCGGAGACGGTTCTGTGTCCTTGAGCTGGTCAGTCCATCGTGCTGGAGATCGCCTTCAGTGTTTCCAGCAACGATCAACCTTTCCAAGCTATGGATATGGATGTTTACACGGTACATATACCAAAATAACATTTTTTACAATTTTTGTCTGTCTGTTTGTTCTGCCTAATCTCTGTAACGGCTGAACCGATTTGGACGGGGCTTACACTGGCAGATAGCTGATATAATAAGGAGTAACTTGGGCTACCTTTATTTTAGAATGTTTTTTATTTTAATTTCCACGCGGAAGAAGTCGCGGGCACAGCTAGTATAAAATACAATCATTTGATTACCACAGTAGACATACTTATTCAAAATCAGAACGCATTCTACCATTTTGCCGTAAAGGCATTGTTTTACACAACCGTCACCTGTTAAGACTTTACGATTAAAACGGGGATACTGCAAAACATGCAAAATTTAAGATTTTTTCTAAAAATATTAATGAAAATTAATATTTTTTTGGTTGTCTCAGTAATTCAAATTTCTTTAAATTCCAGATTTTTGTTAATGAGATTTGTTAAAATTTAAAAAAAAAAGTATTTAAAGTTTTTCGCCGCCGAGGGAAGCGAACCTACGTCTTCGGGTTTCGCCCACTGACGCTTTAGCCACTAAGCTAAACGGGAGAGAATTGTTTTTTTGGTATTTATATTATTCGTGCGAATAAATGGATCGCAAAAATATTATTTGAGCTAATAAATGTATAAAAAAAACTTTTGTTTCTCATATTTTTTTAGAGTAGAGTAAAAACTAATTTATTTGTATAATGAGCCCCAGCGTCATAACGCGTTAGAACAGCCATCGTTTCGCGAAGCGAACATTATTGCATACCTATATACGTGTACTGTACAGGCAATGTACAAATTATCGTCAACGAGTCATTGACTCGTCTCTTGATAATTCCGCTGGAAACGAGGCGCATTGAAGTCAATACTTTTTTTAAAGTATATTGTTTATTCGTAACGTCGTGCAGTGTAATTAAAGTGTTTAGTTTCTAGTGATTATTATTTGAATTTCTCTACCTATGATTTTAATGAGGTTAGAAATTACTGAACACACTAAGTAATATTTTCACGTTTTTTCCGAAATTTAAAGATCTCGAGTTAGCCGAAAATAGCAAAAATCTAACAGTTGCTCAAGCGTTAGGTGCACATAAAATTGACTGAAAAATGCGTGAACTTATGTAATTAAAGAGTTCATTGCTTGCTGGTGGATACTTTCACAGCTTTTACTGGAATCCAACACTAATTCTGCTTTATGCGCGGTCGCCGCCTCTATTTTATTATTTACCAAATTGTGCTCTTTACGACCAAAGCTGCAAGCAAATACTGCTCTGTCTTTTTTACGAGGACAGTAAGATATCTTTTATTTCATTTCTTGTATTTCGCCGTGAAGTATTCGAAATGTGAGAATTTAAAAACAACACAAAATGAGGTTACTTTTTTTAACCATCGATTTTTACGTTGATTGTTTATAGATGTCTTTCGCCCAATATTGATAGTGCTCAAATTTTAATTTACAATTATTGTTTTAACAATTAAAAAAGTGTGCCACAAGTATACACATAATTGATCTAAGTCATTAACATTTCCCGGGAATGGCTTAGACGGCCTCAAATGGCTTACTAGGAAATTTTTACGGATTGTCGATACTCTCTTTGTAATACACGGTTTATCGCTGTTGCAGTCGATTTGGTAGGTCCTTATCGTGTTCATATCTCTTGTGACAGTCACTTGATAGTGCACGTCCAATCAGCATAATAGCTATTATGCCGTTCACAACGTATTCTTTGGGTGGTTAGTTAGTGTGTTCGTTACATTTTATTGTTGCTCATCGTGTATATAATGACCGATAGTGAAAATATTAGGAATATGCGACATCTTATAAAGATGTTCGAGAACCGTGCTAATATCGAGGGCGCCTGCACCGAGGAATCCACAGACGTTGATGGTATCGAAAATTGTGGCGGTGAGCAATTAAGTTACATTTTTTAGATACGACTATCTAATGTAATCATCTTATATGTATGCGTAATAGACAATATTTTACACGTTGTTGTGAAGATATAATTTTATTGTTCTCGCTTTAAATCCAATTCATCTAATGTTATTCTGCCTCTTGCTCCATTTTTAGGAACTCCTATGCATAATGTTCGCAAACATTTGTATGTATGAATCTAAAAAACATTGTGTACATTTAATCCATTTGTTTTAATTCCTTACTCAAGTCGCACAGTTTACAACGTGGCAAGAAAACTTATAATGTCCTCTTTGATTTGAACCGTACGGATTAAAATGACTTTAAAATATGTGTATATTTAAAATTATTCTTATTATTATATTCATGAATAATTTTTTGTTACTTTGTGGAAATATTTTTACTAAATATCGCTGTTTTTAAGTAAATAATACTGGTAGAATTGCATTCGCATTGTGGCAGGTAGCCTAAATTAAATTGTGATTTAGTTTTTTTTACGGTTTCGTTAAAAGAGATTAAACATTGCAACAAATGCTAAGTTGTTACACAATAAAGCGTTATCAGCAAAGCTTCTGGCTTTTGATATACATTTTCATTTTTCAACAATTTATCAATTAAACTCACATTTAAATACACCAATACAAGAAGACGGGGAATAATAGCGACTACCATAGTTGATCAGCGCCATAATTCAAACCTTTCAAATATCACTGCTGCTCACTAACTTGCCTCTAAAGATTTCCTTCTTTATTGAACTTCAAGCAACCGTCCGCCGTTTGACGTGATCCATGTTCATGCCAAAACACATATAAGGGACTTTCTCTTGTCCCCATCCACGTGAATCGGCAACATAAAGGATAGAAGCTATATACCCGTAGGATTGTAGGGGTGTCGCCTTTAAATAAAGTGGGAGTCGGTAAGCACATTCAACAGACGAAACGCAGAAATATAACACTTCCTCTCCACGCCGGTCTGCTGTGTGCTCGTGGTTCACCCCACCCACCTGCCCCCCTCCCCCTTCGGTATTGCCTATTCGTGCAACAGCGAAGACCACTTCGTGTCCCTACCACAGTAAATATATACGAATTATATTTCGTCGTAGGCGGTGAGGGCGAGCAGTTGGCTGCCATCAGTAACCCGGCGGCCGAGTTCGAGGCTCTGATAGAGCGGTTGGAGCGAGTGACGACGCGTCTCGAGCGACTACCCGCACTCCAAGCACAGGCGCTATCGTCCCCACGCTCGCCGGAAACAGCTGAGGCGTACTCGCCAACAGAGCCGGTGCAGGATACGGGATTATTGCTAGCGACAGACGACATGAGCGTCAACGGATATCAAGATTTGTTACAAGTGAGTTTTAGTAGTAGTTTAGTGATAATAAAACCAATATGTACCGCAGAGTTTCTTTCGCCGGTTCTTCTCAGACCAGTGGCTTTTCTTTTCCGAACCGGCAGTTTAGAATTTTCCTGTGAACCGGAAGACGTAGCGTTTGAAGGCCTCCACTAGATGGACCAACGACATCGTGAGAGTCGCGGACAACCGGATGCTAATGGAAAAGTGTCTTTCATTTTGGCCTTAAGCGAGAGGCCTTTGTTCAGCAGTGGACGTCTTCCGGCTGGTGGTGATGATGATGAGGTTTAGTACACAGCGGAGCGGCAGTTGTTTATATAATTATTTATTTTCCATTTTATACCAGTAATTAACAATGTCACAGACCTTAATATAGGATTGTATTGGATGTTTACACTTACATAATAATATGAAAGAGAAGATCACGTTTCAATTTTACGGGTTAGACATATCTTTTTAATGCGTGCGCGTGCTATCCACATTTCACTGAGCTCATTAAAGTGCAAACGGGCTTCAAGGCGGCCGTAAGAGGTATAAATAGCGTGACAACAAAAACTGACTGAAAATTCTTTGCTTAAGACTTTTTATTTTCAATCAATCAACGTCTTACATTTGTGTCTTGTTTGCGTCGAGAAAGCACTATTAATAATGTTTGGTATCAAACGAGATAGCTGAAACATACGAATAGCTGTCTCTGTCATCCCCATTAAATAATAAGCATACAAAAAGATACTGTAGATAAGCATAAATTGTTAGATGATAAAAAAAACACGACTAGAAATATATTGTTGACCTTCCTTTATTTCCAAGTAGCAAAGGATCATTCTTTTTAAATCCTCAATATTGAGACGAAGGTTATCGTTTTATCTTTTGTCCTTTCAGCTAGCTAAATAAGGATTGTTGGACAATACAACCTTTATCAAAATATACAGGGGAACAGTGTGTTTGTGTCAGCATTGTTACTAAGAAAGATAGAAAAATAAAAGCGTTATTTATACAAAAAATAAAAATTTATTTTTGTCGTACTGAAAACACGTCTCATCACAATATAAATCATGTATTTGAAACCAAATAATCCGTAAATCCTTATGTCATTTATCTTTTACAAACTTAATAAAAACGGTTCATTGGAAAAATTCGTTTGTAACGAAAACAGAGTATAAATAACGTGATTCGACTCCGTCTTCATCCCTCGGTCGGGGAAAAAATAAAGCAATTACCACGGACAAAGTAAATCAACGCGGTAGTTAAGACGGTATCTCGTTCGGTAAGCATTTATCTGTTTTAACGGCCCCGTTTGCTTTTAGGGTCCCCTGAGGGCGTACTTGGAGCTGTCTCAGCAGATCGGCGGCGATGTGGCCACTCACGCCAACCTTGTCAACGAGGCTTTCCAGTAAGTTTCCGCGCGCCACTTTCGATCTTTATTGTGCGCTATACCGGGGTCTCGATTTAATCTCGGAGAGTCAAGGCTCCCGCAGTACCGCTTAAAGGGCACGTTGTATTGTTCACATTTTGTTACCCTCCAAGAGGTCAATGAGTTAGTATATCTTTTATAGGAATAAAACTAACTTATTATTTATTTATACGATACTATCTATTGTTTATTCTTTAGTTAATAAAGGTCTTAGTTTATAGTTTAATACATGCTCTTAAAATACAAACAAAAATTACAATGCTGTTTGTTATGTATAAGAATCTGTATCGAATGAGAAAAAATTTTGCACCGCTAAATCAGTTGAAAATTGTCGGAAACAGAGCGCAGCTTCGGTACATCCAGCTGGCGTCGTCTAGAAGCAAGCCGTCGCAGGCGGAGGAGATGCAACTCCTCGCGCCGACCAGCGACAAGATCTCTGCCATCCAGCAGTTCCGCGAGAAGAATAGAGTGTCGTCGTTCTTCAACCATCTGTCCGCGATCTCCGAGAGCATCCCGGCCCTCGGCTGGGTGGCCGTGGCGCCGACGCCAGCGCCCTACGTCAAGGAGATGAACGACGCCGGCCAGTTCTACACGAACCGCGTGCTGAAGGAGTGGAAGGAGAAGGACAAGAGACATGTGGAGTGGTGCCGCGCCTGGGTGCAACTGCTCACCGACCTCCAGGCATACGTGAAGCAGCACCACACCACCGGCCTAGTGTGGTCCGGTGAGTGGCCTCTCCTATCAACCATACGATTACCTTACATATATTTCATATTTGTTTTTTATGTGGAAAGTTGCCAAGCGAGCGGACGGTTATCCTGATGTTAAGTGAATACCGCCGCCCATGGACATCTGCTATCTCCGAGGGTGGCAGATGCGTTGACAACCTTTTGAAAATTGGGCTCCGGCCACCTCACTTGCCAGACGAAACGCGAAAGTATAATACTTCCACTTTACACGGTCTTCTGTAAGGTCGCAGTACTTACCCGGACGAGCCTGCTCATTCGTGCAACAGCCGAGGCTGTTGCGTGGCCCTACTACAGAGAAAATTATACGAGATTCGCTATATCATGTTTCGAGGGCACACATTGCAATTTGGATCAATAGTATATATAGTACGATACCATACATACATTTAATGTGACCACGCCCAACCTTATACGAGATTCACAATATCATATTACGAAGGCACACATTGCAAATTCGTATATATAGAACGATACCATACACACATTTATGTGCCCACGCTCAACCTTATACGAGATTCACGATCATGTTACTAGGGCACACATTGCAATATGGATCAGTTGTATACAGATAATTAATGAAATAAAAAAGTACCAAGAACCTAATTCCCGCGAATATCTTTGTCAGCATTACAGAATTAGTAATCGATATCTGCAGACAGTTGATACAAGAAATAAGAGCTCAAACTCGACCTCTCTAGTTACATAAATTACGTCTGTCCATATCGAACCAATTTCAAATTGAGTCAATTAATTTCGACGCAAATTGACTTTTATTAATGCATTTTAATTGCGGTTTATGATCTAACTACTCGTTAAGTATGTATACCATTAGTTGCTATAATACTTTTATTATTTATATCCACTTTAGCTATTCGAATGATTATTATCGGAAATTTTAAAAGCTGTCTAACTTACACAAATAAGATTCATTTGTGCGACCACGTAAAGTGATATGTCGCGTATTTAAAAATGATGGAAAGATGGCACAAAATGTGGATCTATTTTATAAGCAAATCAGACTTCGGTCGTTTTTTGTTTTTTTTTGTTTAATTTTGTGATCGTGTGCCACACCTTTGTGTTTCTTTGAATGTTTGAATACTTAAATCTTTGTGAAAGCCGTATATGTTTGTGTTTCTCTGGATTTATATCTCAATATCTTCAACCAAAACTTTAATTGCAGTCTGGTATATTTTGTTGAAACCTTCTAGTTTGCAGTCATGCATTGTTATTTGCCCATTACTATATAATCTTTAATATTGGATTTTCTTAATGTCCTCGAGTTAAAATTTGTAAATAATCCGAATTATTCATATAGAAATTAATCTTTTGTTGTCGCGGTTACCTACTTAAAGACAGCGCTATGCAGCCAATGTTATTAGCGCTTGGCTGAGCTTTGTCGCAACTCACTAACTCCGTATTAAAATGATTTATAACTTCCTCATAGATGCTGTAGGTAGGTCTTCTTTAATATTAAAACGGTTCTTTATGTGTGTGTTCATCTACGTACAAGCGATTGTTGGTAATAACTATGAACTTCAGATTAGACTATTACAATTTACTTTAATTTAATTAACTTGTAGAAAAGATGGGTAGAAAGCGTTTGAAAAAAAATATTAAGCTTTTCTAACAATTGTATATTTTTCGCTTACATTTGATTCGTCGATCATTTTAAAATAACTTTCATTTTTTTTTAATGATTATTTCATGTTTAAGAACGTTAAGATTATATTTACTTTGGGGAAACAATAGAAATAACGGTGTGTTTGATATAATTTGTCTACTCAGTGTTTCTGGAAATTCTCATATGCTCGTCTAAGAGTAAAAACGAAATTGAGTTTTTTTTTTAAATATTTAAACATAAAAACTTTATTTGGGCTAACCCAACTTGGACAAACGGAGGTTATTAGGCTAAAAATATTTCGTTACTTAACTCTTATCCTTTAATGATTCCCTACTTTTAAATTATATATTATTATATTTATGATGTTACGGTTTTACTCGCAATACTCAGCATTTTAAACCGACTTCGAAAAAATGAGGAGTTTTTCAAATTGGTTGTTTATTTTTGTTGTATCGTCAGCGCTCCGTCAGTTATGGGGATTTATTTTTCTGTTTGCATTAGGACCAGTTTAGCACCCCCTTGGGCCCAAAGTAATGGCATTGAGGAGCTCTCAAGTAGTCCAAGTAGGACTTAGACTACTTGAGAGTAGTCTCTCGGACTTTCTAGTCCAAGAGCTCCTCAAAATTAAATAGAATCAGTTAGAATATACATATAGTGAGTGAGATGTTTGAAGTCGGTTTTGTTACAACAATTTGATCTTTTTATGTTGCAAATTCACGTCTCGCTTCTTACATACACATTCAATCGTAGTTCAATAATTTCCCTTGGCATTGCCCTAAAGTGATCTTGCAACAATTCCAATAATAACTTTCCTTTAATTTTATACATTTCTTTTTGACCTAAATCTTTAGGAGATTTGCGTGGGCCGAACAATTTGTCAGTAATATTGGTACTTCTAACTTTTGTAGAAACTTTATCTCACGGAATGGTATAACGGTGAATGTAGGTCGACATTCAATCACGCTGATTCCGTTTTGTTTTCCTTACTAAAATTGGGCACCAACCTTTCGTTGAGATCACGTCCGTGAATCCATTTGACTTTTATTGAAATAATCTAACCGAGCTTGTCCCAACTCAAATACAATATTGAATTAAACCTTTCGTTGTTTCTCGTTTTAAAAAGGTGCTGTACGATTATATTATATTTGTATTTTGGTACAAAGAATAGAAAATATTTTGCTCTCAACAATAACTTATTACGACTAGTTAAATTATGCTTTTGCCTAATATTTGTGAAATTTTTAGGACCGAAAGCAGCAATGTTAAATGTTTTAATTGCAAGTTGTCTTCATAACAATCGTATTATTATATTCATTTCTGAAAAGTTGGGCACTTCGGTTCTGAATAAGTAGATAGAGAAATCTTCGAAACAGTAGCACGATCACAATCTCTAAATGTTATTACCTACGGCTTAAACAGGCCCCAATTAAATTAAGGATTGTGACTGACATTTGACTCGTAGGTGTTCAAAGTTAAAGGGAGCTTGCTTAAGCTTTATATAAGTAATGTTGATTCTGATTTCGCGTACTTTCTCGAATATCTACAAACTGTCGAAACTAGGCCTTATAGGATGTCTTATTTATTTTTCAAATTCACTACGCCATTCATGGTTACAGCGCAGGCTGACGATCTAATGTCATAGTTGTCCAACTGATACAGTCATCTATCTTGTCCATTATTTGATTTTGCTCCGACCTACTTTGGGACGGGTTCGCTTAGTCCCCCTGAACATTCTGGAAGCCAGGAATTCGAAGACGAAATTATTTTGACTATGACGTTTTAAATGAAAGTCATGAAACCCACGCTTATTTCAATTAAAATGGGGAACTTGGATTTAAATAAGGTACGTCGGTGCGACACATAGACACACATGAGGGCTGCAAGCGTGCTCTAATTGGATATTGAGTTCACACCAAGATACACTTGAACAAAGAAAATTTGACCTCTACCTAGCCGTTGTTTTCATTGTGACAACGCTGATCAAAGTGCAATTGGACGTCGGCGTCAAATCGAAGTGGGCTTGGGCCGCCCTCAAATTTTCAAAGTCAATGTCAAAGTATCTTTATTCATTACAGGCTTAATTTAAGCTCTTATAGAACGTCAAAAAAAACTACTACCTATACATTTCATAGCATACTTGGATATCAGATGATAAAGAAAATGGCGTCAAGAGCAAAAAATCACCTTGATCTTGTTGAACTGTCTCCAGTCAAGGGCTTGAAGATGATTATCCGATGGAACTATGAATGAAACGAGTCTCGACCGTCTGTCCACGTATATTGTCCAATCGTGTGAATGCGGCGTGAAGGCGTCATGTTTGACTTTGACGCAGGCACCGGTGCGGGCGCTCCGCCCCCGCCGCCGCCCGGGGGCCTGCCGCCGCCGCCGCCCGTGCTGCCGGAGGCGGACTTCGCCAACATGTCCGTAGACGACCGCAGCGCCCTCTTCGCCGAGATCAACCAGGGCGAGGGCATCACTAGCCGTGAGTTGATAATACACTCCCTCCTCCTTTTGAAGTCGATTAAAAAATAGGGGGGCGATTTTTAAGGCGTGGTTCTCAATTCGACTGTATTTTTTTTATGTTTGTTACCTCAGAACGTTTGGCTGAGTTAACCTATTTTGATGATTCTTTTGTTATTTGAAAGCTGGTGCTTCCCATGTGGTGCCATATTAATATTTCATTAGTATTGGCTCTTGGGCTTGAGATACTTAGGGAACACATGAAGATCAATCATAAAATGGATACAGAGCGACATATTTGAAGTCGGTTTTGTTTTTCGTTAGTAAAAAAAAAGGTTATTAAGAGGATGGGCAGGTCCTTCAGGGTAAGTACGACGACGAAGTGAAGTGGAAGTTTTATATTTCTAAGATTCGTCTGGTGAGTGAGGTAATGGTTGGATCACCTCAAAAACTACCTCCAGGGCCTACTTTATTAAAAGGTGGCAAAGCAATTGCAACCCTTATGGATGTTGCAAATGTCTATGGGTGGCGATTATCACTTAACATTAGGTAACGGTTCACCTGATAGTTATATTATATGACTTATATGTAATAAGAAATATTTTAAGACACTTCTTAAAACAACATTACTATTCTTAAATTAAGAAAAGCTTGTACTACTGTACTTGCACTTTCCTTGTTCTGGAAATTGAGTACTGTACTTGTACTTAGCTTGTACTGGAAAAACATTGTTTCACACACAATATTTTTTCAGAAGTAGGTATCGAACCCACAACCTGTGACGTAAGTGTATACACCTATCGGGTCGTGACGTGGTACGACATTCAGAACATCATGAATATAGCGAGAAATCCTCACTATCGGAAGGAGCGAATGAACTACTAACACAACTAATGAATGCTGTAATTCTATGCCGAGGCTCTGTCAGGCCATGGTTTATCCTCGAGCTGGCCTTCTTTTGCAACAGGAGATGTTATGTTTACTCTACCATAGTAAAAAAAATAATGCAAAACTTATTCTTACCCGAAAGGATTTGATATCGTCTGTACTATTCGTGTTTCATAGAAGTTTTAAAGGACAAAACGTAGAAGACGGTGATATCTTTTATTTCATTAAAATAATAAAAATATTTCAAAGAAACGCTTGTAATTTAATACTTACCTTCTTGAAACTGAATAATGCGCTCCGCGGCATCTAAAAAGATTTTATATTTAAAGTTATGTTATTTAGCAAACAGTTTATGAAATGTAATAAGAATTTTAGCTTGTATAATGATTAATGAATTTGACACCAGACCAGAATTGACCAGAATTTTTTTGGTTCAAGATTAAGTTTCTTTATTTGGTATTAAATAGGTACAGAAAATTATTTTCGGTTAGGAAGTTTGTTGATGAAAAAATTAAAATATTCCACTTTTACTTTCAAACTTTTGTAAAGCAATGTTCGAGAGTAGAAGTGGCGATACCGTTGAATAATTAGTTGGGCATTTTTAAAATCATGATTTATAGTAAAAGAAGTCTTATTATATGAATTAGCTAGGATCACATTTCCTTGTTATGTCTTACATTAACATTCTAGTATTCGAAAACTTTAATTTACCTTACCAACGAAAACCGGTTCACCTCACAATTCCATGTGAAAGACGTATACATTTTCTAAATAATTAATTATTAAACGTTAAATTTATGTCTGAAATATACAGACGTAGAGATGCCTTTCAATTTGTAATAACTACTTTATATCACTTTACATTGCCCTCAAAATAAAAAGTGATATAAACTATTTATTACAAACATAATTATAAATATATGATATGCTCTTTCTCACGATAGGTGTATAGACTATCAAACGAAATAATGCTTTTATATAAGGCAATTCATTTTATTTGTTTACCAAACTTGCGATAAATTATGTAAAAGCTTATTTCATAAGGGCATTGTTTCAATTATTTATAAATAATATGTGTTTTAATTTTCTAATCTTTCAAATTTTATAATATTTAAAAATAAATATATAAGAATGAATTAGCAGCGGCTCTAAAATTTTTGCAGTATATTTATTTAATGACCATATCAAAACAAAAATAAATAATAACGGAGTATTTTGAATTTACTATAAATTTGTTGCAATGATATCATTAACTTAGCTAATTCATTCCTAGTTTAATTTTGCACGTTTCGCTGCGTTGAGTGCTTTTGATTAACTAAACTCTCGAAGCGCCTAGAACCGGGTGAACTTGGAGAGTTAAATGACCCAATAAATATAAGTGTTTAATAAGAACTAGTTTGAATATTCAGAGCGAAGGTTTTTTTTGTTTGTTTTCCAAATAAAATTTTATAATATAAAATTCAATAACTGGTAAAAGCATCTTAAATGAAGTGTTAATTTTAGAGCTAAAATTAATCATCGCGTGAAATTAAATCATTAAATAATTTTGTGTTCACAAACATGATATTCCATGAAATTTTGAAAGCAGTATATTTATTTACGTAAGGTTAGTAACTTCTCTTGAATGATACGATATGGTATATTGTTGGTAGGTAGAAAAATAGTTGTGGGTAAAAGCAAAAGGAACGTCAAGCGATATGTAAAATATCAAAGTACATAAGAAAATATTCTAAAACGTTATAGTTTCTATTCCGCAATCAGGTCGGGCTCACCTGTGAAAGCACACACTATATAATACGGCGTGTTTGCTTGCATTTATCGGATTGAACTTGGGGTATCATTACCAATAACCCCTCGAGTATAAAGACGTTATTTAGGTGTATTTTTTAAGATTAAGTCCATAGCTCGTGCAGACGGCTCAGGAACGTGCTTCGTGGCAGTCTGTGCGGGCCTATATTCTGCTGTGGACTCGAACAGGCTGAAATGATGATGATTACGGCCAGAGTGGCTTTGCAATTTAGCCTGTTGATGGTTGAGGTGGACTCCGGAGTAGGGGAGAGTCGCGGTTGTGCAACGAGTCCGTTGTTTCTATTCGAAAAGTTGTCAAGTGAACAAGTGGTTCACCTAATGTTAAGTGAGGGCTTGCAGACGAGTCTTATTACGAAAAGTGAGCATCGGTTATCTCACTCAACAGACGAAACGCGATATATCGTGGCCTTGTATTTATAAGCAATAACACCTCTCGGCGCGGCGGTCTTATGTGAGCTCCCGAAACCTGCCCAACCGTGCAACAAATTGCACGCATGGGCAGGTTGGGCAATTTGTGGCACGAATTGGCAAGCCGCCGCGGCCGTGCCGCAGTGAACCGCACCGCTTGTTGCAGACCTGCGCAAGGTGACGTCGGACATGCAGACGCACAAGAACCCCACCCTGCGGCAGGGCCCGGCGCCCTTCAAGGCGGCCCACGCCGCTCCCCCCGCGCCCCCCGCCAAGCCCCTCCCGCAGCCGGGCGCCGGCAAGCTCGACAAGCCGCCGGTGTTCGTGCGCGACGGCAAGAAGTGGCTCATCGTGAGTATACCTGTACACTGTCCGATACGTTGTCGGGACTCACTGATTATTTCGACTCATATAGGGCTGCACAGGTCGACCCTCCATCTAGTGGGGGGCCGTCCTACACTGCGATGGCCAGTACGAGGCTGCCACTCGGTGTGTGTGGTGGCAAATGTGCGGGAAGTCGATTGATGCAGGTGGCTCAGGATCGTACTTCGTGGCAGTCTATGGGGGAGGCCTATGTTCAGTAGTGGACTCAAACAGGCTGAAATGACGATGATGATGATAGAGGGTTGAGATTTCGAGTAATGGAGGTTTTGGAGTTTGAAGGGAAGGGAACAAAACATTTTTTCGTGATTTGGCGGCTTTCAGCTTTCGAGATTCGACTTGACGAGTTTCTACTGTATTCGTATTTGTATCCGAATGGCGTAGCGGGTAGTGTCCGTAGTACCCGCCTCCTGCGCCACAGCGCGTGGGTTCGATCCCCACTCCGAACATAGTGTTCTTCTAGTGTCTGGGTGTTTATATATCTATAATGAGTATTTATTTACAAAAGAAAAGTATTTTTAAGTGTGTTTATCAATTATCTAGTACTCATAGTACAAGCGTTGCTTAGTTTAAGACTAGAGAATGTTGTGTAAAAATGTGTCCTAAAATATTGTCTAAAAAATATTTATTTTGTGTGTAAGGTTTGGTTTGTTAGTCCCATCGACCACTGCGACCTAGAAGATCTATTTTTGTCTGGCCGATAGGTTACTAAATAATTGAAGGGCTAAACTAACCTACTAGTTTGGGACCTACCGGAGGTCCTTCAGGGTGAGTGGTAAGAGTTCGCGGTGGCGCCCCATTTCGAGCTCATCCCACCCACCCCTGATACGGGACTGCCGATAGGTCCCAAACTAGTCTGTACATGTATCGATTGGTGAGTACCCCACACTGATCATTTCCTCCACTCACATCAGTGAGTGGAGGAAATGATTGTTTCACCGCTGGACGTCCTCTCAATAAGTAAAATAGCAGATAACCAATCAGTCGCCACTTGTAGGAGAAGATTGTGTAAGTGAATATTAACTATATTATTTTACAAAACATAAAGCCTCGGCTGTAAGAATTGAGCACCATACGAAATATGCATACGCGCTGAAAAAGTAGTAGTAAGTAATGAAAGCATTTTGTTAATGCATTATTTTTCATCATCCCAAAAGGTTGCAAAAGAGTACCTATGTATACATTAATTTAGTACTTAAATTTTTATTCTCATATAATAACATAAAATTTTAATACGTTACTCTCTCGACATTTTAGACTTGACCTTTAGTGACATTATTAAATAAAAATATTTGTACGATTTTAACCAATCAATTGGTGGTCAAAAGCACTCGCCAAGTTTTATAGGAACATTTAGCTTGAAACAACCTTGACCTTTAACAGAATTCTATTCATAAAATAGCAGTACAAATGGTCGAGAGAGGTTCGCTATATGTGAAAGCAGCCTTTGCTTTAATATGCTAGTAGTCAATAGCAATTTGTGCCGTTATGAAAGCGCAGTAGTCCGCGCTATGCCAGGGGAGCTTTTGAATTATTGAACGATTTTAATATCTGACAACTTTTAATTTATTTCATATTAAGATATTGTAGATGATGATATGAAAGTTGTTTTTAAATTATTTGAATTCTTGCGTCTATAAGTTGGTTTTTTTAGAAGTTTTTCTAGCGTCAGTAATATTTTAGCCCGTTATATATAATTCATGGTAATATTTTATTATTTCGTTTGGACTTTTTACAAGTTGTTATAGAAACCTCTAGCTATTCCGAAAACTTGAACCGACAAGACAAAAATCAAGAAGTTTTTAAAAAACAATAACATCCGACCAAAATCGTCAACTTTATACATATTTTCTTTAAAGATTAATAATACAATACATTTGACGTTATTTCTTGCAGCTGTTGTAAATCGGCATCAGAATGATCGTAATCATTCTGATAATTAACAAGATCATTCTGATCAATTCAGATTGTTTAAAAATCTTTTTGCCAACTCAAATAACATTTGAAAATCCAATTGATTAGTTGACTTCTTCGATGATCAGTGTATCAAAAACCCATAAGTATGGTTAGTTCAATATTTATTTCTTATTTATTTTAATTCGCACCGTAATGCCATCTAATGATTTCATAAAAAAAGTATAATCCGCCTTCTGTGGGACAACACATCTTCAACAATTCAACAAACGGGTGTTGCAATTAATGTATAATTGCAACACGGGCGGCGGGGGCGGCGGTTATCACTCAACATCAGGTGAACTGTCAGTTCGCTTGTTATCTTCTCACATAAATAAAAAAAATGTTTCATTGGTCCGTCCACAATTTACATAAAACGTAATCGTAATAATATATAAAATAAAACACATTTATTTATTTTTTTATTGAATCGACTGTTTTCCTTTCTTAAGTAAAGTAATTTTAGGACAGAAAAGCCAAAACATTCTCATTACGTTTTATGAGTATAAATTCTTAGCGAAGCCTTCATCTTTGCGTGACATCATAACTCGTACGCGAGATCTACTGTGAAATTTATGGTTGTTTAGCCCTTTAGGAACTCAGCCGCCTCTCAAAGTTATGAGAGCATGATACATAAAGGAGGAGCGGCTTAGCAACACGCCAACCGCTGCGTGCCTAAATTTATTTATTTCCGATGTTTCCGCCGAGTTCGGTTACGAGTGTACGCCAAATAAAGTTAGAGTGGAACTTCGGTCGTTCATCGAATAAAACCGGGAACGCTAAAAGTCGAACGTGACGTATTGACGTCATTCGATGTTTTATACCGGACGATTCATGAATAAATTTCGTTTATGGCAAACGAATTTCGTGCGGTGCGTTGGTTTTTAATGTTGAACACCGAATAACACACTAATTGCACACAAATATATAAATTAATATGGTGAAACTGTCGGTAGCACCAAGGTTCTGAACTTTTTCATTAAATTATTTCTATACTTTAACATAATAAAATATTCACTAGCATAAGTATTGATTGTGGTTTTCCTCATACACATTATAAATATATTTCGTTTAACACGCACTCCCACTTCAAAGATAATAAATCTTCCAAATAATATAAGTAATACATATTTCGAAAATGTTTGTAGTATGGCAATCTGCCATACTACAAACATACTACAAATAACTTTTCTCAATAATCATAATTATTATAAATATTTCTTAACTTCCTTTAATGTTAAGAATTTTAGTTTTATACATTGAAACTATTGTTAAATAAAATTCATCGTGTGATAGACGCGACAGGCAATGCGCGAAAAAGTCTCGGTTTCTATAAAATTAAATAAATCGTAGACATATTTAACTTTATACACTTATAGAAAGAAAGAAATCTTTAAAGATTTAACTTTATCCTTCTGAGGGAAATGAGTCTAATGACGATATGACCATGACGAACAGGAGTACCAGAAGGGCAACTCGGGCCTGGTGGTGGAGAACGCGGACATGAACAACGTGGTGTACATGTTCCGCTGCCGCGACTCCTCGCTCACCGTCCGCGGCAAGATCAACGGCGTGGTGCTCGACTCGTGCACCAAGTGCGCGGTGGTCTTCGACAACCTCGTCGCCAGCGTGGAGTTCGTCAACTGCCAATCGGTGCAGATGCAGGTCGGTGGCGCCCCTTTATCGTTTTTCTCAGCGTGAGTCATTACTCGTCATTTTACACCGGATGGTGAGTGATGCAGCGGATGACGTAGCCCTGAGGTGCAGTTGCCGAGCCATCGGCTAGGCGCCATAGGTCGACTCCCGCATAGGACAAGCATTTGTGTAGATAGTGGGGTTCGATTCCCGACAAGTATTCGTGTGGACGGTTATTCCGGATCAGAGTGCTTGTCTTCAGCGAGAGTTGACGTCAGGCCTGTAGTAAAGCATAGCCAATATTACTGATTCACATGTTGGGTTGAGGTGGGATAAGGGCAGGAGGAGAAGAAGAAGATTAAGCTATTTGCAGCGAAGAACGCTGCGTAAAAATGTGTTAAAATATATGTGTAGCGATCTCGACATTAATGAATAATTAATATTATTATTAATGAGCGTTATAGTCTCAGTGTCCGGGCGCTCGCCTTTAATTACATTTACTCGAGCTACCTGAGTTCGAACCCCCGTGCCAGCACCAATGAAATTGTTAATTTCAAGTGCTGAATTATCACGTGCTCGTCGGTGAGGAAAACATTTTGAGGAAACCTGCATATTTTCGAAATAATAATAGTAGGGTCGCGTGGTGGACTATGCCCAGATACAGTGGAGGCCTTTGCCCAGCAGTGGGATATTTATACTTTAACTTTTTTTAATTTAGTCATGTAATTCTTACAATAATCCTTTCATACAATCCTTAATATTTATTTGACGTCCATCGCTTGAACAGTGCAAAAAGTTCGATTCTATCGACGTTAAAAATTCTAGAGAAAAATTAAACGTAGTTTAAATTCATAAAGTGGTTTTATTGAGCAATACTACATGCAGTATACAATACATAGACAAAAGTAATTAATTTCTCACTAACAAGTGCCCCATGATATGAATAACTTAAATATTACTTATTATTGATAGCAGGTGAAAATTCGACACGAACCGCCTCGCCGTCTATCAACTCTCTTGGGAATTTGTGGCGTGTCAATTAATGTTTATATTGTCTCTGCGCTATTCAAGAAAATAATTACGAAAATATTCTTGTCAATTAATTAACCACAAAAATTGTCACATCAGAAAAGGCTTTTTGTAATGAAAGGTAGGAACAATACAAAAGTAAAGAGGGTGATTTCTCATAGTTGTATCAAAATCGTTTGATATTAGCAACTATATGAAAAACTAGCTGCTGCCCGCGACTACGTCCGCGTGGAATAGAGTGAAGGGACGGATACATATAATAAAAATGTAACTTGTATTTGTCTGTACATGGAAGACATTTGAGAAAAACTATTATTAAACTATTATATATTTAAAGGGGGATCTTTCCCCCTTTATCAACGCAATAGAACCCAAAAAAATGGTTGTTAAAATTGTTGTCTGTGTGTATGAGCGCACCAACGCATTAATCTCAGAAACGGCTTAGACGATTTGGGTGCAACTTTCACTAATGCATTTTAGTACTTAACGTTTAGTTTCAGTTTTATTAAAAACGGTTTATAAATAAAAAAGTTATATCAACTTAAAGAAAAGTAATCGCTACAGCTGAATTGGATGAAACTATAGTTACCTATAATTAAATTATGTTCTGTAAAATGATGATGCTTGTTAGATTATATAAATTTACCAGCCAAGTGCGAGTCGCAATCGTGCATGTAGGCTTCCATACCATAATCTATAAAAAAGGCAATAAAATTATCTCTGTTGTATGAGAGCCCCACTTAAAAAAATATTCTGATTTCCTTTATTTATTGTTATAGCGTCCACAGAAATACAGCATCTGTGAAAATTTCAACTGTCTAAATATCACATTTTATGAGATACATGTATCAAACAGATGCTAGCAGTCCAGCTAGCATCTGTCTTTTTGTTTCAACTCGCTAATCTCAGCGACTACTCGTCCGATTAGAAAAATTCTTGCACTGTTAGATAGCCAATTTATTGAGGAAGGCTACTTTTTAAGCACGATATAAAATGTGGTACCATACGGGCCGAACCGTGGGCGAAAAGCTAGTGTACAATAAAATATCACTTTAAATACCACATTCATACTTTTGCCTTCAGGGAAACAAATACTATGGGTCACACAAATAATTGTCCAGTGTGATAATCGATCCCACGCCGAAGGCAATGCCTTGACAACTGCGCCATGGTCAAGCGAGTTGTATTCACGAAGTAAACAAAATTTTGTCTGAGCCACATCCAGTGATGATCTCAGCTTGAATTATGTGCCTTTGTAGAGAAGTTACGTTTATATGAAGTTAAGTTTATATGAAGTTGAAAATGGAGTCCGCCATTGCACAATTTTACACCGAAATTGCGGGATTTTATATGCAGAAAGGCCACTTGCAGTAAGCGAACTTAAAAAGTCAACCGGCTAATTTGTGGCTTGCCTTGGCATTGTTTGCAGTGAGCATAATGTGTTCACATAACCAAGAATTATCCTATTATCATCAGAAAAAAATCTTGGTTATGTTTAGGTTATGTTTAGGCTTTAAGTTCAGTATTTGGAGAACTAGGTTAGTACATGATATTATGGAGCCGACGAATGGTACCTACTTAGCAGGCCCGCTTGATTTGTTACAATTATCATGGAATATCGCCTACGTAAAGAAGCGAGAGGCGAAAGGTAAGTAACGCTACTAAAAAACCCCATTAATTTGCAGCCTCCTACATTTGGCCCGCCGAGTACGCGGCCTATAGAGAAATCCACTACCGTTCCTAAAAACTAACTAAATCGCAAACCAAAATCAAGAATGTCCGTATAACCGAGCTAAACTAAAATCGTACCTATCGTATAATTCTCAATCGAAAAAATTCGCAATATGATTAATAAAATGTCGGCGCTTGTCCCTTAATTAACTTGTGAAAACATGTTACGCATTTTATGAATTTAACAACGCCATCTAGTTTTTGCACGGAAACTAATTCCTTATCTTACTGGACTTACTTCCTTGGACTGTAATTCTATCAATTGAAGAATTTGCTAATAAATAATAAAAAAAATGTTTGATTTTTATTAGGAAACTGAAAATTCACGTTATCGTGGTTAAAATTTGATCACTGATAGTACATTTTGTCATTATTTTGTATGGAAGGTAATTTTTTGTATTGGGAACTACTGACATTTAAAAAAAAATAAAAAATGTTCCAATTGATCCAGTAGCTAATAACGTATATATTCTGTTTAAGTAAACTGATTACGATCAAACGATACTTAAATATTGCGAGGAAGTTGTACTGACACGCTGTCAAAAACCCCGTAAAAACGATCCTATGTTTTGTGAGTAATCACATAAATTTTTTTTTGAGTGAACGAAATGCAGTAAAACAAAGCTTTAATGTTGCACAGAATATATCTTGAATACTTTCAAAAACACTATACAAATTAGTCAATTAGTTGGATAACTGTGATAACTAACTGTTTGCGATTGCATTGCGTTAATCTTAGAACTCCCATATCTCCCGTTTGAGTAAACCGATTGATATGAAACAAAGCCTAGATGTCGCCCCAAGCTTCGCTTAAGTAATCGGTGAAAACTGCATCAAAATCTGATAAGTAGTTTCCGAGTTTATCGCGCACAGACAGAGAGACTGACAAAAATTCCAAAAATGGTTTTTATGCTTCCTACAACTCTTTTTATGATATCCTATTTCACTTTTTCATAAATATATTCAATGTACAGACACGCGCCAATTCATCGCTGAAAAAATATGGTTACCTAACAAATTTATAATTGAGATATTGAAAAGAACTGCTCCAGCAGTTTGATTCTTGCTATAAAAATTACTCTTTTGTAGTGATAATTTTAAAACAGGTTTAAAACTACCTTTTATGTTTTATAGAGATACTTTAACCACCTTTCGAACGATATTTTACTACTATATTTTTCTTATTACTCTCAGAATCGATTTTGAAACGACCGTGTTTAAGCCTTAGTTATAAAATGTTACAAAGATGACGTGTATGGAATATAGAACGGGGGCTATACAAAATGTCTAAACTTAAGCCAATTCTTTGTGTTATACTAAGCCTACTATTGTCGACTGTTTCCATTATAAGGTTTATACATACAATAAAATGCGGATACAATAGAAAAGTTGGAATGATTCCAGAGAGGTGCAATGAACCTTATCGAATAACCTCATTGACATTTATTTACCCTATTCGCTCTTGGTCGTATCTCCCATTCGTTCCTTTCATTTAACTGTAATTTATATACATATAATTTATATATACGATATAATCATATTTGTTTGTTTCCATTAGTTTATCAATTCGTTTTTTATTTATTTTTGGTTTGACGACTACACTACTTACGTGTTAACATAAGGTGTAAGTTGTTTAATTCGTTTAAAAAAGGGAAAATGAGCGTTGAATGTAACCATGTAACATTTAATAATATATATGGATGTTTGCATATACTGCCCGAGGCTACTGAGGTTAGGTTAAACGCAGAATATTTCTCTTGTCGAGACGTTGGCTAACTCTATGCTGGGCTAGTTGGTGTACAATCAGACCTAAACTTTATGACTAAAACGAATCATGTCGAACACAATGTGAAGAGTTTAATGAGCCAAAAAAAATCTAAAACATCACATGGCCAGCATATCGTGGGTGTCCCAGTCGTCGCCAGCGTCGCTCTTTGCCTCCTCGATAGCTAGTTGGCTGCTGGTCGCCTCGGTGATGACGAACAGTTTGCTCGGCAACTTGGGCCCCTCCTGCTCTCCCAGGTCGGGCTGGTACTTGGTGTCCGTGTAGTCCCTCGGCGCGTAATACTCCCCGGACATCGCCGCCCCAGGGGCCTCCTGAATGCGATAAAATTGTACTTTTAATAGCTGCGAAACCCGAGTTTAGCCTGATTCGATTAAGTGAAATTACAATTGGTTTGGCATTTTTAGGGTTCAGTACCCAACGGGTAAAACGGGAACCCTGTTACTAAGACTCCACTGTTTGTCCGTCCGTCCGTCTGCCACCAGGCTGTATATCATGAACCGTGATAGTTAGACAATTGAAATTTTCTCAGATGATGTATATGTAGTGTTTTATTTGAGTCTTGATTGAATGGATATAATGCGTGTAATTTTATCTTAAGTCGTTTAAAGTTAATACTTGTACTTTATACTTATACTTATTATATAGAACTTACCTTGTTCTGTAAAGAATAAGTTCAATATTTTTTTGAATAAAATGTCCTGTGTATGTAAGAGTATCAATGAAATAAAAACGACCGTTGTGTTTTTATTTTATTTGTAAAACAATACATGTTTTTACGATGCCATAACGGCGTATGACTCGTATGTTGCATGTGGATAGGTCATAACTAGAATATTATAGCCCTGATCGGCCCCCAGGGTTATAGCTTAATACCTCAGGTGTATTAAAATTTTTTTTTACTTTTATATAGGTACAGCACTCTTTTAGCATTAATATGCTAAAGGGTTCGTCTTAAGTTGCGTTGCAACAGACTGTTCATTATAATTGCTATGCGATCACATCAGATTTCTATGGCTATTTGATAAACATTATAGTATCAATGGATTATGTTCTACTTTAAACTGGACATATCACCAAAATCAATAAACCCTTTTATACACCGCAGATGGTGTACAAAACTACTAAATATATGTAAGACTTTAATGTTATGTCGTGTTATAAAAGCAAACGCACGACTTGGCACACTTTGCGTCTCTGCGAATATAGAGCACTTTAAATAGAGAGCAATAAAGACATATGCATTCACCTCGTAATATGCGTAGTTGAGGAAAGAGTTATGATTCCAACTGAGCTCGCTGTCGGAATCCGACGACTCACGATGCGGTTTGTAGTCGCCCATGGCCTTCTGCGACGCAATCTCTATGCGATTGGGGTCCACTTCGAGCATAGCTAGTTTGCTGTTGATCACCATGTTGAGTGTCCTTTGCCAGTTCTCGATAAGCTTCTTCGTGTCTTCCATCTGACAAAGTATGAGCGAAAAATGCTCCTGTATAAATGCGAAAATATGACACACTTCGACCGATGCGATGTGTTTTGGAAAGAAAATTGAGGTCATGGCAGACGGATTAGATTAATAAATAATTACGCATTTGTTGTTAAGGTTCGTTTTGAAGAATTTGTATATTTTGACATAGTGAAAATATGTAATAGTTCACCATCCGGACTATGTGACAAATATTATATGAGATTGATTAAAGTTAGTATTGTTATATCCGTTATTGTTTCTAATCATTATTGGTTATTGCGATAACAAATCTGCCTTGCGTTTTATGTAATTCAAATACTTGAAAAAGAACAAGGTTTTTCAAGTATTTATAATCACAATAAAGTCTTATATAAGTCTATACGTTTACATACCTTCTTTTTCAAAAGGGCCTGCTTCGAAGCTCTTCTTAGTCTCTTCTGTTTAATAAAGTTCCTGAGATAGGAGACCTTGTAGACGTTAGTCACTTTCACTATCTTCACGTGGCAATCCTGCTGGCAATCGCTCACAGACGTGTAGACGCTGGTCTCGGGGCTGGTGGATGCGGGCGAAGCGAACTCCCCGCAATCCAAATTATCGCCCTGGACCTCTGATAGCGCAGTACGTTCATACTTGAATTCCTTCATCAATTCCAATATGAATTCCTGATCTATAAGATAATTTTTCGCTTTTAAATTCGTTCAGAAAGTCACAATGTACGTTTATTGCATCCATCTATCCATAGCTTAGGGAGGTCAATTTACAAGGACGTTCAGAACTGAATTTATGTTTCTGAATTTATTTAAGTTGTATTTATTTTTCGACATCTTTGAAATAAAACCACTCAAATAATCAATCATTTAAAGAACAGGTCCTGGAGTATTGTCGCGTTCCAGGCACAGTTTAAACGAGAATGATTGATAGCATTTATTTAACAATACCATCTGCATTTTTTTGTTCTCTTTCATTAATAATCACATCCAAAAAGTTTTTGACGGCACCTCTTTTAAATTATACTTAGTCCGGGTGAGGACTGGATGGAGCGGTTGCTAAGCCATTGGCTTCGGCGCCGGTGGTCGTGGGTCCGATTTCCATAAGAATTTCTGCGACCCGCAGACGATTATTCTAGATCTGCGACAGAGACAGGTGCTACGTGGGTTTTATAGTGGGTACCCGTTTCTTACGGGACTCCAACGTACCCCTGCCACTTCCCCGATCCAGTGCCGGGGGATCCATAAAGGATTTTCCCGCGAAAAAAAAAGGATGAGTACCTTGTTCGGGAAATGTTTGGCCGTCGTATTCCTGACTCCTCGGTGCATTGTCGAACGCGCGTCTCAGTTCCTCATTGCCCGCAATGAGGTCTCGCACGTGGCCCCGCACCTTCCTCAGCCGCTCCAAAGACCGCTTCAGGCACTCCGTGCGCTCGTTGAATTCGGCCTCACGAACGCTCATCTTCGTCGTCACGATCTGAATCTGAATCGAAACAATCGTCGCGTATTAATACATACAGAATTTTTAAAACTTTTACTATGAATGAAAACGCTTATTCAAGATGTCCCTACACCTATGAACCGGGATGTATGTACATATTTGTAACGCATTTATTAAGTCTGCCATTAGTGGTAATTCGAACATGATTCATTAATGCTTAAATCTCATGAATTATTATTTTTATCACTCTTTCAATTTGACATCTTAAAATACTTTGGTGACAATCTTTACACTGTGTAACTGTTTGACAAAAGACTATGTTTAAGAATGACAGTATGACCGTAAATTGTGAATTTTCATTTTATTTTGTACGAATTTGTATTAACGTTTCAGATAAATTTTCGCTTTCCGCACTTCTCCATATAAACTTTAAGTATGCAAAATTTCGAAGTCCATCGTGCGCGTAGTATTCAAAAGGGATCCAAAGTTTTCGCTTTATGTATTAATTTATATAGATTAGCATATGTTATAACTTTTGTAATTAAAATAAAGGTTATCTACTTTTGCGTGCCTGTACAATTTGAAGCATTTGAAAGATAGGAATAAAATTTCGAAATAGTACATATATAATTTATCTCTATTCTCTTTAATTCTTAATATACGATAGGGCATTAAAATAGTAGCTGTCGCTTACCTGAAGTTTTATATCCTCATATTCTAGCTGTTTTCTTATGAGTCGATCTCTCGATGAAATGTAATAGTTTCTTATGTATCTACACATAAATATTGTTGTCGAGACGTATTTAAAGAAGAAAATAATCTGTAAATGACATGGTAGGTACTATAAGTCTTTGCTAAAATGAAACGAACATTATTTACATTTACCAAACATTCTAGTAATTCGGCCAGCTCCGGCCATTTTAGGTTACGAAAAGTGAAAACATTTATGAGCCCATCGCATGTCGCTGTGTTCAACTATATTTTATTGTTGAACACAACGACATTGCGTAGTTTATTTACTATATTAATATCGACTCCTTAGTTCTAATATTGCTTCCACTCACTAAGTTTGCTAATGTGATGTGCGCGTAAATCGAATATAAGCAGCTGATGCAGTTTTTCCCAAAGTGCTCTCCATATTCTTCTATCATCGCTTGAAAGGATCTAGCAAAGTCCCAAACGGTCTCGTTTGTTTTCTTGATGTCCACGTCTTGTTTGACGGTCATCATTCTACGCGTGAATATCAATGTGACCACAGAGGCAATTTTCACAAACAATGCCGACATTTATATTGGAAACATTTCATTTTAATTGGTCACTTTTATTACGGGAGCGATTGTATACTATCGCACACTTTCTCGCTGACAGCGTTTTGACATTGTTCCTTCTTCAAAAGTTAAGTTTTTAAACAACGCCCGATTTTTGATGCTGACGTGCACTTCTTAATATAATATGTGAAATGCTTCATACTTATCGATGACAGAACTGTGTTTAGTTTTTTTAATTAAATAAGTAATATTTAAAACTAATAAAAACCCGTTGCTCTAGGCTCATCGTCGCGTAATATAAGGCTTAAAATAAAATGATGTCATTTGGCGTTTATTTACTACCCTTACTTCTTTTACCAGACTGCGCGACGCAAAGAAGGGTAACGTGTATATGTCTATGTATGTATGTTTGTTCTTATGTGGCGTTGTAGAGACTAAACGTGTATGCCGATTTTGATGATACTTACGTCAATCGATTCGTATTACGGCCGGTTTCTGAAACACTGATCGTCGTAGATGTCAACTAATCAGCTGTCAAATTTTATTTTAGTTGCCTGTTTTGGATTGATCGTTCTGATCATTATTAGAAGATCATTCTGGTCAATTCAGAGAGTTTCATTCAGTTCATTTTAAGTAACAGTTAACTATTCTCGCTAATTTTCACACCTATAGCAGATATCTTTTAAATAAAAAGTAAAGTAACAGCCTATACATGTCCCACTGCTGGGCAAAGGCCTCCTCTATACAGAGGGTATCAGGGCATAGTCCACCACGCGGCCCCACTGCGGATTGGCGGACTTCACATATATTCGAAATATATTTTTTTTTGTTATTATTTCGAAAATATGCAGGTTTCCTCACGATGTTTTCCTTCACCGCGGAGCACGTGATAATTCAGCACTTAAAGTTAAAAACTTCATTGGTGCCGGCACCGGGGATCGAACTCAGGTTGCTCGAGTATATTGAATTAAGGCGAGCGCCCGGACACTAAGCTATCACGGCTCTTTTAAATATACTTTAGGATTTCGTTATACCCTTATTATGCTGAATAATAATATAAATTGATAATTATATTATTAATTGACCAAGCAATGGGAGTTCTAAGCGCAATTGGGTGATCAGCTCTTCGGAGGGACCAAATGAAACCCGGCGAATTGCCAGAGGAATTTGAAAAAGAAAGCAATCAAAAACAATGTTCCTGGAATAGGAGTCAGAATCGAACCATCGACGACAAAATTCGATGCACTTCGTGAACGAGCACTGGGTAAAATAGAGCGAAAAATTATGCTATTGACATTATGCTGGGTTATGGATCAGAGTTTCTTACTTGTTCTTCCCTGGACAGGTCTAGTTCAGTGGTAGTTTTTTGTGGTTCAATAAGAGCTTAAAATAAGCCTATATTGAATTATGAAATTTTGACTTTGCCTTTAACAAGCTCCTAGAAACAATTTTGAACTGAGCTGTGGTTGAATTTAGTTCACGCATTTGTTTTTTGTTTGCTTTGTTAAGTTAGCTTAAGGTTAGGTTAATTATATCTAGCTTTGAAACGGGTTATGACTCTAGCTGGACAATCATGTAGTTCAGACCACCGCAAAACACTTAATAACCCCCACGATATTAACTCCCTCAAAGAAATGACCAACTAAATTTTTACCGTCTTATAGTTTAACGTCCCATCCTAAAAACGACGTCAACGAATCCTAAATTAATAATACAGTTAATAATTTATATAGCATTGATGTTCGATGTACCGAACACGTGTTGAAATTTATAACGGCCGCTTGCAGGTGTTGGGTAAGGTGCCCACCATCTCCATAGACAAGACGGACGGTTGCCAGATCTACTTGTCGCCCGAGTCGCTCGACGTCGAGATCGTCAGTTCCAAGTCTTCCGAGATGAATGTGCTCGTGCCGAAGAGCAACGGCGATTACGTGAGTGTTCAACTTTTTTTATTTTTTATTTATTTCACATGTTTCCAATGTAAGAAGGTGACAAGCGAGCTGGCAGTACAACTGATGCAAAATCTGCAGGGTTGCAGATACCTTGCGACCTTTTAATAAAGTGTACTTCACTCACCAGACGGAACGCAGTATAACACTTTCACTTCACGCCGGTCTTCTGTAGGGTCGTGGTACATCCCCGGACGGACCTACCTATTCGTGAAACAGTGAAAACTGCTGCGTAGCCCTACCACAGTATCTAACATTGCGTCCAAAGTATATTCCAGATTTTTGAGTACATTAGTAAATTTATATTCTTTTTAAAATAATCTTTATCTGGATTTTTTTTATTTCATTGTTTGACTAAACAGTATGGCACATTTGATAGGTACTTATTGTACCGAAACAGAACCTTTCTTCAACGCCTATATAACTAAAAATATCCTCATTACTAACTATAGAAGAACTTATTACGAAAGAAACGTTCCCGAATTGCAGCCTCGTATTGGCTATCGCAGTGTATAACAGCCCATCACCAGATGGAGTGACGACCTGTGCAAATGAGCATGAAGTCGATGTATTCAGATGGCTCAGGATCATGCATCGTGATAATATTATGATGATTATGATGAACATTTATATAAAATACCCTTTTAGATTCTATTTACATTTTTATAACTGCACTGACCCCAGTTTTCAGTTTATGTACGCTCTGGTCTTTATTATTAAATGTTTTACTGACGTTGTGTTTTATGCCCTCAGTCCGAGTACCCGATTCCGGAGCAGTTTAAGACGGTGCTGAACAAGCCGCCCACCGGCCTCACCACGTCACCGGTGGAGAACAAGGGCTAACTCCACTCAGCCCGTGACACAATCACCGCCCGGACACCGAACCTACTTACTACTGAAGAAAAAAAAACCCAATACCTGACCAATTTACCATCTAGATCGGCGGGTCGTTCTCGATTAGTTCATAATAACGCACGGTCTAGTTCAATATTCGCTCACCTAACCCCGACCCGCCTCAATAAAGTCTCACACACGGCACAAATAACTCGCTATTAACTCGCTGTAGTGTAGTGGTACAAGTATCCGGATGCGTGAAAAAAAATTAGCTAACTATAATCTATTCGTTTCTTGCTCATGTCGCTCGATTTAAGATATAAATCTAATATGACGTAGAGATAACTGTAATTCAAATGTTTACTGGCCTTTGTGTATTGTGAAGATGTTCCTTACATTGTTCGATTTTGATTATTTCACCCTGACATCAGACGCGGAGGTTTGCAGTACCAATTGGTACGGATTGTAGAGGTTAAGGCTAGCTTAAGGAGTGTGCGTCACGAGTTTGATATAAAAAAAACTCTGCATTTTTCTTCGATTGTATTGGCTATATTTAACTTAATAGAGTGACTATAAACCCCGATTGTGGCCGTATACGGGCGTACTCTAGTATTAATTTCTATATAATTATTTGAATATCTCATTGTGATCGTCTCTTCGTGAGTTTTAATTACTGTACTCGCTTTGTTATTGATTGATTGTAATTATAATTCGTATTGATGTAAAAGTATTATATTACTTACGCTTAACAGAAATCAGTTTTGGTAAAAGTTTTTTTTTTATTGTGACAATGTGACATCGCGAATAGATACTGTAATTATTTATTATGCCATTCTTATTTGAAGATTTTTTTAATTTATTTGTCGAGAGATTAAAATAATTTTTAAGATTCTTGATGTTTTATTTACTTCAACGACGTATATATCACACATAACATATTTATATGTATCTGTTTAAATATATCTATACCAGGTCAAGGATTAGCTAAGTAAACACTGAGGGAGCTGATGGCTTAAAATATGTACATAAACATTTTCATCATATTAAAACATGGTTTTTATGTACATGTGTGTAGGGAAAGGATAAGTGGATATATATTATTATTATTCATATGTTTACAAGTAAACATGATATAAATTACATGATATAAATATGAGGAACACACATAAATAATTGTACCCAAAAATGCGTAGAATAAGTAATCCTTTTATGGGACAATGTATAAGATTTTACTACACAATCTCAGAAAACGATTACAATATATCAATTGCTAAATTCACAAAAATTGTAAATGAACGTTTGTGTGTTAAAGGGCATTATATCGTTAGTAATAATTTAAATAATAATACACCCTGGAAATGAATTGATCGGCCGAGGCTCTTTCAAGTGGACTTTAATGCAATGTATGTTTCTTTGTCAAATAATGGAAAAAAATGTCCCGCTGATTTTCTTACGTCGGTTCTTCTCAGGTAATTCTTTTCCGAACCGATGGTAGTGTTTTGACAAACAATAAGTATAAAGTATATAAGTATATTGAATAAAGACATTTGGAATTTAATCTACGTTTGATCATTGCACATTGATGAATGTATTGAAAAAAATCGACAAATGAGTGTAGCTTAATCGGCCGCACCTATTTCGCAATAACAAGCACATGAATTATTTCAGATTTCCGAACTCCACCCTCAAGATTGATGTGTAAAGTATAATTTTATCTGCAGTATAGCGAAATATATTACATCGCCAGAAAAGTAATGAATTGCAATAGTGGCAATATAAAAGTAAAAAATAATATGCCACAACAGTAAATATCTTATATTTTTTGTAGTCAGTAGGTTGAAAGGGTTAATGCAAAATGAAACGAAAAAGTTTGAACAGATCTGTTTTTTATTTAGTCCATGGCTTACGTCGTCCATTTGAATAATGTTATTTCAAACGGAAAAGGTTATCCATGTAATTTCAATAAATAGACTTAGCATAGGTATAGCAGTAAATTGTAAAGAATATATCACTGGGCATACAATTTTAAGACCTATATGTACAACGCCCGCTTGGGTATGGCTTAGAAGTAGGTAGTAGACGTGCAATTTTACGGAACGTTAGCTTTAGTCGAACGATAAACTTAAGTTTACTTATAAAGTATCAGTCGAAATCAGAAAAAACTACTCTAGAATTAAGTACTGGCGTACGCATTACGATAGTAATTTTTCACGTCAATCTGGGTCGACGCTGGTAGTGTTTAAGGCGTGACAGTTCCATTCATCGCTGCCGTCGGAACATTCTAGAAAGCCGTTGCAGGCGCTCGACGCGGGCAAGCACTCGCCGAGCGGGCATCGAAAGCCTCTACACGTGTCGACGGCGGCCCTCCGTCTGTTTTCCGCCGTCTGCAAATCCACATAGAAGTCTTCGGCTGACTCGGGGGCTTCCCCGAATGCCGTGTCATTCACGTGGGGCGTGTTTGCGGCTATTACGCCGTCTATCCAGTCGATGTAGTTCGACACCTTCGTGTAGACTCCGGGCCGGTTCGCCCGAGCGCACCCGTACCCGTTGCTTGTCACGCCGTAGATGTACCATTTAGACCCTTCCTGTGGAAGAACGGCTGTTTAATGTTTATTATAACACGGCGACGCGGCTGATAATGGTGCAAGCACCGAGTGGTGTAAGTAACATGTTGAAGTTACAACCTACCGAAATCGCTAAGTTGCTTATCTTGATGAGAAGAATTGCAATTGTAAAGTCAGGAGTCATTTAAACTTATGAAAATTAAAAATTTCCGATATGATATTAATATTTCTGTATATTTCCTCAAACGTGTTTTCATCATTTTTCATCATATTTAATTTTTCAAATACTGTTTGTACATGTTTGTCACTATTGAAGAAAAATAGACGTCTACTCGTCTATAAAGCTTTTATCATAGAGCCGTGATAGCTCAATGTCAATAGCATAATTTTTCGCTCTATTTTACCCAGTGCTCGTTCACGAAGTGCATCGAATTTTGTCGTCGATGGTTTGATTCTGACTCCTATTCCAGGAACATTGTTTTTGATTGCTTTCTTTTTCAAATTCCTCTGGCAATTCGCCGGGTTTCATTTGGTCCCTCCGAAGAGCTGTGCGCTTAGAACTCCCATTGCTTGGTCAATTAATAATATAATTATCAATTTATATTATTATTCAGCATAATAAGGGTATAACGAAATCCTAAAGTATATTTAAAAGAGCCGTGATAGCTTAGTGTCCGGGCGCTCGCCTTAATTCAATATACTCGAGCAACCTGAGTTCGATCCCCGGTGCCGGCACCAATGAAGTTTTTTAACTTTAAGTGCTGACTTATCACGTGCTCCGCGGTGAAGGAAAACATCGTGAGGAAACCTGCATATTTTCGAAATAATAACAAAAAAAATATATATTTCGAAGATATGTGAAGTCCGCCAACCCGCAGTGGGGCCGCGTGGTGGATTATGCCCTGATACCCTCTCTATAGAGGAGGCCTTTGCCCAGCAGTGGGACATGTATAGGCTGTTACTTTACTTTTTTTACTTTTTACTGCCTCACGATCTACCGCTACTAAACACGATTGACGAGGACTTCGGGTGCACCGGAACTTCTGCGGTCGACACTAAGACGGGGCCACTTACGGGCAGACCGTTTGGAGGTGTGGCGCTGTTATGGCGTAAAAGTGCGTTTGAGTCGGTGTCTGTTGTGAACCGCAATCATGTGCGGGTATGTGCAATCAAAGTTACTGTAAATAATAGATCCACTGTATTTTTTAGCATCTATATGCCCACTGACAACTATGACAATCTTTATCTATTTACGGAGTTTCTTGGTGTGATTCGGTCTATTATTGAAGTAGAAGAGAACAACGGCATAGAGGCGTTTTACTTATTAGGTGATTATAATGCGTATCCTAATGAACTGTTCTATAATAAGATGATAGATTTTTGTAAAGATCAAAATTGGTTATGCATTGACATCTTAATGTGCAAAAAGATACATACTTTTTACAGTGATGCACATAGTTGTAAAAGGTGGTTTGACCATTGTATTATAACTGTCCTGGGTATATGTACTCGTCAACAACTTCGAGCACAGTGCTTGTTGGGAGCGCACAACTGGTACAGGAGTGACATGGACATAAGACATGATCTTCATCTTGTCCATGTTCATCTTAAGGCCCTCCCGTACCATCTTCATTGTACCCGTACTACTAAGATATCTTCAATGCGAACTAATTAGGAATAAGAAGCAATGAAGTTCGTGGGCTATCGCAGACTGGGTTCTATAAGAAATGCGTAATGAGATCGTTACTTGGCACATGAGTGGTCCGCCGGAGTCGCCGAGGCAAGCGTCTCGCCCGCCTCGCTCGTAGCCCGCGCAGAACATGTCCTCAGTGACCCGGTAGAGCGGCAGCAGCCTCGTCCGCCGTCGGCACTCCGCCGTCGAGATCACCGGCAGCTCCACCTCTTGCAGCGTGTCCGCTGTAATGCGCCCAGAACGTCCTTTGAGGTGGATTATCTCCCGTGATTTGGGAGACTTTAACCTTCAACTGGTAATGCGTTGTGGTAATTCGTTGTTGAAGACGTCAAGGTATTACGGCTACAGTGTTAAACTTTTTATTAAGGCTTAAATATCGACCGACAGCACTTACGGATGCAAATGGATCATATTGAATCAACGTCTTCGGACACAGAGCCCGATGGATGTTTTTTCCACGAGCTTATTAAGATCCAGCTAGTAGTCACGCATTTGTCAGGCGAGCCTTGTTAGAGAGAGGTTATGAATCCTGATATGCCGAACAATACCCCGGTATGTATAATCGGTGTCGTCGTATTCAAATTATTAAATCCTTCAAATTGTAAGTTTGTAACGAGTGTTTCGGAGACAGTGCATTATGAATAGACGTAACATGGATAGCGTTCTCAGGAGCCATAATATTTTCTCAACTGCGACCTTCCTAGTGTTGCAAATGTCTTACTGCAGTGGTGATCACTTACCATCAAGTGAATCAGTTTGTGTTTGCTACGTCCTCCATAGGAAAGAATGACGAAATAAATCGCACACACGTCTTCTAACAGTTAACTTCAACCGCCAAAATTGTCCCTCTTGCAGAAAAACAATTCCTTCTTCAGTTCTAGCGTAGCCTCTAATCGTCAACTAGCGAAGCCTCCTAGCACATGCATCTTATACTTAAAAGGAGGCTTCGACCTCATAACCAAGATCGTTGCAACTTAAGGAACACGGGAAGAGGACTCTAACGTCCGGTTTCAATATTATATCTACAAATCGATTTAGTTACTGGAGATAGAATTTTCAGTAGTAGATAGATCACTCCGTGGCGCAGTTCTCAAGGTATTGGCTTCTGCGTCGACGGTCGTGGGTTCGAACCCCACACGGGTAAGCTATTTATGTGACCCGATAGTTATTTGCATCCGGATGTTTGCCCGCGTGAAATTCATGTTTTTAAAATGTCCTTACAACACAGGATAATGTTATCCTAAAGTAACGGCAATGTTTTAAAAAAATAAGAATAAAAATACCCGTCGCTAGGAACCAAATCTATGTGTAGATAGAGTATGGAAACGTGGCAGTAAAACAGAGACATCAGACTTTAGGCCGCCATTAGTGGTAGTGGCAATAACTCACGGAAGACGCGCTCGTGCTCGTACAGCTGGCCCCAGCCGACGACGGTGCAGTGGCGGCCGGCGGGGGGCGCGGCGCGCGGCGGCGGCAGGCAAGCGGGGCGGAGGCGCGCGTGCAGCTGCACCGGCTCCACGCGCAGCAGCGCTATGTCGTTGCGGAAGCCGCGCGCCGCGTATCTCGGGTGCAGCACCAGCTGGCGAACGCGCGCCACCTGCTCCCAGGGCCCGCGCGGCCACGCGCCCCTCCGCAGCGCGCCCAGCCTCGCCACCCAATGCGCTTCCGTCGCCCTGAACGTCGGAAGGTGTTAAGAGCCCGCTCGAAGCTCGAATCGTAGTCGGCGCACAAGATCATTGTACTCGATACACGCATATTAAAAATATATATTGTAAAATGTCTCGACTCTCCCTCATTCGTCTCTTGGGACATGCTGTGTCCCACGTTCTTTGTTTGGGACGGACATGGTCATATAGTTTTTTTATGTTTGTGAAACGTCACTTACTTTTGCCTCATTTCTATTGCGACTTGGCCTGCGTGTTTATTTTGGAAATTACAAAATTTGGAATAGAAAAAAAATTGCTTATCAGATATTATCCAGCGTGAGGTTTCCCTCACAGGACTAATACGAACCGTGTGAATACGATAGCACATTCAACACATTCCGTAAAGTATATTAAGTAAAAATATCCGACTCACTGGTAAAAGCAATGGCTGGCCGATAGCAGCCACTGCGCGGAGATTAGGGTTGCGCCGCACTGGAAGTCGCCGTCGCGGTAGAGCGCGGCCTGCCAGGGCCACGCGCCCGCCGCCGCGCCGCCGCCGCCCACCACCCTGCCCCACCGCATGCGCTCGTGAGTTACATCCCTAACCAACATACCGCCAACGTACGGATACAACCGACATCGCTTCACGGCCCGCCAACGTTAAACTGCCGGCGTTCCTTTTATCATAATACTACGCTAAGGTTTGTAAGATCCCTGTTATTGATTAATCGATAATCATCAACTAAGAACTACTGCTTACACGTGATTCAAAATTTTTCAGCATAACGTTGTAATAGGTATTTATAGCACCGTTTATAGTTCGATTACAACTGTGAGGGGTTGTAGTTAACGACGAACTGCTAGTTTGAAAGACATAAAGAAGATAAAAGAAGAATCGTTGGATCATGTAAGCGAAGCTTTAATCGATGGCATAAAATGTTTGAACGTAAACGGACGGGGTTGAGGGGAAGTATTGAAAAAAAATTCTACTAAGAAGTAGTAATATATAGTAAGAATTTTAAAAAGGGATGATAAGCATAGCATGGCCAGGTATTTGACCGGAAAATTTATTGTTGTAAATATGAAAGCGAAGTGCTTGATTCAACTTTATAATATTATCTTTTTATTCGAAAGTTGTCAAGTGATCCCTTACCTGGGTTGTTGGGCCTCAGCGTGAGGCCGCACTCCGCACTCGAGGTCATGGCAACGGACGCGCAGGGCCTTGCGTCGCGCGCACTCGGCTCGTCGGAAGGTGAGGCGCGTATCAGCTGCGCGCGCTGCCTTGTTGTGCCACACCTCCCAGTAGCCGGCTGAACTCAAGCGACGCCCCTCACGGGCCTCGCGAGCCCACCTCGACTCGCTGAATTGTATAATAATCTATATATTCATACGTGAAGCGAAAACTTTGTACCCCTTTTTACGAAAATTGCGCGGACGGAGGAGCATGAAATTTCCCCCACTTCTAGCTTATGTAGAGAAGGAGTGCAGAATGCTAATTTATTTTTTTAATTATACATAAAAATGCATTAAATCAATATAGAAAACATTACACACACTACCATGTATTTTCGCACACACGCTTTTTGTTTATTGCGTATTTATTTGAGAATAGATTACTATTGTTAAAACTTATTATTTAAATTAATTATGGTCGAATGTCGACCACTCGGCGTCCCCTAGCAATCTTATATTCATATGTGTTCAGAATAGAACAAGGAAGAAGAAATAACGCTTCTGAAGGTGTTAAATTAATATAATTTCAACTAAAAATAATTAGTTTGTATTCGAATGTGAGTCCGTTACGATTGGAAGTCAGTGCGAATGTATAAACTTGAATGTGAATCGTTAACCACTTATAAGCCAATATATTTAAAGTATAACGGTCGACTTCCAACGCGAGTGTTACAAGTATAAAGACAGTCTATGGTTTAGAAGTTAATTTATACATATTAATAATATTAAATTTATTTATAACATAGTTTTTTCATACCTGAAGGTCATAGCTCGGCATACAGCCCTCCCAAGATCTGGTAATTTCAAAGAACTGTGAGCTTCTGCCACAACGTCTGCAAAACTCTCTACACATAATCTACCCCATTCACCGCGTTTGCGAACCATAACGAAACCTGTAAATAAATCATTATTACCATTTGTAATCTAAAGAAGTTATGATAATTTAACTCGACTAAGAGAGATGATAGTACCTTCTTCGTTATACGGTACAACTTCATTATCTTCAATATCATCGGAAAGAGCAACGCAAGTCTTTTCATCGTCGCCAAGTGGGCAATCCGGAGTTCCATCACATACTCGTGACATGTCTATGCACTGACGTGCATTTGAACAAACATATTGGCCCTCTTTGCACCATTCTGAAAGTAAAAATATTAATTGATTTAGTTTTCCCGCCATTATTATTTTACGTGTTTACGTGTTATTCATGTAAAAATTGCTGTTTACCACATTTGTTTTCGTCTGAATAATCCCAGCAGTCTACAACACCGTCACAGATCTTCGTTTGAGAAAATTCTGCTCTCAAGTAATCGGCACAAGAACAAGCGCGTTCATCTTCTCCCCCCGGGCAATCCATTAGACGATTACACCTCGAAGTATCGGGTAAACAGAGCCCAGTTAAACAGCGGAAAGACGTGGCGTTGCTACAGTCGTCTAAAATAAAATAAAGCATAAAATAAAAAAAAATATTACATGTGTTCATTAATAAATAACGCTTTAGTCACCTTCTTTTGGCATATCTTTAATTATTTCCTTTTCCTTCTGTGGCTTCGTCGTATGCGGCTTGTTGTGACTCTTTTCCGGGCTGTTGAAATGGTTTTCTTCTTGTTTCGTAGGTTGCGTTTTATGGTAAGTTTTCGTCAATATTTTAAAACCTGCTTGATTCAGCGTATAACTAGATGGTATAGCTTTAGTTGATATTACACCTCCGGGAGGACGAAATAAGGTGCTATTACTATATTCTGTTATTGTAGCAAGACTAGCTAGTTGCTTTAATTTGTCAATTGTTAGAGCATTACTTTGATTAATTGGTATCTCTAAAACCACATCTGGTTCTAAAGCTAATTCGTATGCGGGTAGATTTTGTGTTTTATTCGCCTGTTTACTACTTACACTTCCAGTGACATGATAAGAAACTCTGTACGTACCTTCTGGAATTTCTTTGTCGTAATTATGTGCCTTTTCTATAGGCGAGTGGTCTTTCATATGGGGAGTATTAAGATCAGTGCTAGATTTAGGAAACCTGTTACTGGTTGATATATTTGGTATAATTTCATCACTATTTCCAGGCAAACTAGCAAGCATTTCATGATTTTCTGTTTCATACCCTTCAAAATCGGGTGTTGTGGTCATTTCTTGATCCTCTTCGTCATTATTTGTAAGATTATGAGCAAGTAAGTAATTTTCTGTGTTAAGTTCTTCCATCAGCTTTTGAGCTTGGACAGCGCTACTAAAAAAACTACGCAAATTTTCTTTTGCCACTAGAGCTTCATTTTTTATTTTAGGTCTTGGTCTTAATGGTCGGTTAACACCAAGATTTGATTTTACCGGCATTAACGTAATTATTCTTGCTGTCGTTGTTTCAAGTTCTTCCTCTGGTATAACTTCAACAGATCCTGTCATTTCTACGTGACTATTGGTTTCTTCTTCATCCATCCTATCGATTTCTGTATCCTGTGGCTTTTTGGTGCTAATTGTGTACTTTTTAATAATATCCGTTAAATTTCTCAGTAACGATATTTTATTTGGGAATCTTGGTGTGGTATTAGGGTAAGTGGCGTCATTTTTTGTTATAATCGCTTGCAATGTGTCGTTATAATATTTTTCAGGTGAGCTTTTACTAAAGGTATCGTTTTCGTTTGTTGATGTATTTACTAATTCCCACGTATGGTACGGGGTTTCAGTTGTTGGAATAACAGATACTTTATTGTTGGGACGTTTAGTTGAATGTTCTTTATTTACATCCTTATTATTTTGTTTATCGATAATTTTAACAGACGACGTCGAAGATGCTCTAGTTGTTGTAGAGGTCATTGTTGTACTGGGTTCAGTAGTTGAAGATAAAGCCGGAGTTGTTAATGTACTAGTTATGGTAGTGGTTGTGTTAGTAGTTGTAGTATCAGTAGTCGTCGGGCTTGATATGGTCATATTATGTTTTTTTAGTATAGACATACCATCAATAGCCACTCTTTCAGTACTGTTGTCTTGAAAGTTGTCTGAATGCAAGACGTTAATTATTGTAGACGTTGTTTTCTCCTTAGGAGGCCTTATTATGGGTTTGCCGTCATCACCGTCGTCTACTATACTTTCCTTAATACCTAGTTTAGCTGAGCTAATTTTATCCACTGGTAATGGAAATGGTTTAGGATAAACTGATCCCAATGTTTCCATATCTTTTAAAGGTGGAGCAAACGTGGGAAGTGTGAAGCTTGTATAAATAGGACTAGGAACATAAACGTCGGCTGATAAATTTTTATTAATATTATAAAGAGGTGGCCTACGTGTTGCTTTATCGGCGTGATGGACAGGAGGTATTGGACTCAACATACTTTCCAATATCGATATATCTTCAACAACTTCTGCAACTCCGATTCTATCCTGTGCACTTTGTTCGCTTACTGTTTCGGTAACTATGGGCAAATGTTTTTCTGTTGTCGTTTCATAATATGGCCTCGTGATTGGTCGCCAAGGTTCATTATCAATGACATGTGGTACTGTGAACAACGTATCTATTTTTGGTAAATCTTTGTTGTGGTTATCATTTGTAAGTAAATCGAATAATATTTGTGAGACATTAGCTGTAGTACTTTGAACAGTTGTAGTTGATAGTGTTGTTGAAGTGGTTGTTGTAGATTTTGCGGTTATCATTCTTCTGGTAGTTTTAATAGTTTCTGGTTTTGGTGTTATACTAGACCTAGTTTTTATCCCTAAATTAGACATAATAGTGAATGGTTTTAATTTAGACGTAGTCGAAGTAACTGGGCTTGCTTTAGTTGTTGGCCATTGTGGGGTAGTCGTTCTTGCAGTTGTTGCTTTTGTCGTAGAGCTTGGCTTTAGCGTCGATGGCTTATGAGGAAGTTTTTCATCACGTCTTATTGGAACATTGCTGTGTTTATTTTCTGTTATATCGGCCTCCGTTTTTGTAATTTGAAAAGATCCTTGAACGACTGGAATATTTTCAGTGTCAATATCAGGTTCATCAGGATCTGTTTTCTTGGTAGATTGATTTGGTTTTACAGTGGTTTTACGAACGACACCGATTCTGCTTTGTAATGATTTGTCATTTCCACTTTGATTTGTTGACTGTTTAGGTTGATAATTTGCCAAGCTTTCATTTAAGGCCTCTCTTACATATGACTCTGAATGATACGTGTGTTCTAAATCTCTTTTAATCGCTATGCTAGATGTGTCTATTTTTATTTGGCCAAATGAAGGCTGTTTGGATAATAAATCGTGAACTAAAATATTCTTAAGCGATTCTTCTATATTAGACACGGTGCTGAAAAAAAGGGAAGATATTAATATACATTAAATAATTGGAATATCCATTTATACAAAAAAATACATTACGCTTATATATAACACAAACAGTTTTCTTTTGTTTATTTTTATATAATTCCAAAGCAACCCATTGTATATAATATACATTTCAATAATCCGAATCGAATTAAAACTAGATAGTTTCGATTCAATTTGACAATATATAAAAATCCGAACCTCGGTATTTTTCTCCTGTCCAAGTACAGTCTGAAGTGGACATCGAGTTTCCGGTCGCCGAAGCCGGTGACCACGGCTCCTACGAACGCCTGCCGAAGGGAGGACGGTGCGTTGAACGCCTGCCTTAGCGCTACGCTGTACCGCCGCGCGCGCTCGTTCCACGCAGGGCTGCCTGGCACTCCGCCGTACACGTCACCGCGCGTCACGCGAAAGTTACCCTCGAACGTCATTATCGCTGCAAACGAACAGAGCTTTGCAATAATAATGTAGCCTATTGAACTACATATTTGCAAGTCATTTTTATTATTACATCAGGTAGCTGGCCACGCAACAGCCTTCGCTGTTACACGAATGGGATGATACGAATGAGAAAATCAACGACCGCACAGAAGACCTTTGGGAGGTGGAGGTGTTATACTTCTGCGTTTGGTCCGGTGAGTGAGGTGACCGGAGCCCACTTTATTAAAAGGTCCGTATCCGTAACCCTACGGTGTTCCAAATGTCTATGGTCTATCACTTATCATCAGGTGAACCGCTAGATCGCTTGCCACTTTCTTACAATAAAAAAGGGTGTGTGTAGTTATGAATACGCGTTAGAAGTTAAGTTAGTCTTTGGCGTAACAAGATAAAAATCTTTGCAAAAATTTTATCTTTCGCGTTATTCTGCGTTTGTAGAAAAAAACGACACTAACAATAGAAAAAAGGTATTTAATACATTGAAAGTTTTATTATAACGCATTATCTAGTTAAATAAAATTTATTTAAATATCACAAGATAAATATCGTGAATACAGTTGTCAGTTCTCACGCAAACATACGTAGATGTCTAGCTAACTTCAGTGTATTGGTTTTTCGTGACGGTGTGCGCGCATATCGTAAAAATTTTTACTCTCATCATTTTTCTCTAATGCGCCAAAAGAAGTATAACTTCAAAAGTCATTGGAGACAAAATGTGTTCTATATTGATAGATTGTTTATCAATCCCATAGGCCCTATAACTTTATAAAATGCGACACTCAACTAAAACGTGTTTGCAATTTCTATAGAATTTACAACATTGGTTTCAATGCGAAAACACGAACTGGAATAAGATCAGAACGACACTATTGTGTAATTTCATTCACAAAGATGTATTGCAATTGTTTGTTGAACCAAAAAAAACTGGCGTAAAAAATTATCAATAATAATATTCACAGCTTACGTTCGCCATTGTCTGGCCTGAGAGCACCCATGTAGAAGGCAAGTGCTGCCACAGCGAGTACTGCCACAGCAGCCAGCAGTGCGCCTACCACCAGTGCCGCAGAACATAAGCCGCCACCGCTGCCACCACTGCTCGTCGCCACACGCGGATAACCTCCGCCGGCAAATCGGTATTCACTCTGCAATACAGACTGCTTGAATTAATAATGTTTTTTTGGGATTTTACAGCATCCTTGAGAACATCATGATTTTCATTGTAAATAACACTCTGTATGTATTAAATGTGTGAACGAAAATGATGTAATTGATACGGAAAAAAATCACTTTTATCGTGTTTTCTTTTCCATTAATTTAAATAATGAATAAGTTAAGCTTAATATTTCAAATAATATTACAATGTTTTTTTGTCTAATAAGAGTTGTGATTATCTCTTTTCCCCCCCTAAAAGTTTTCAAGAAAATAATTAAAAACAATGACATCACGAAATAAATACGAAGATAATAATTTATATCTTCGTATTTATTTTCGTTCGAATGTCATAGCCGGCTCATATTACACACTGAACGCGAATCTCTTCGACGATACTCCGGCAATTAATCGGCGGTATCGTTATGGCGGCGCGATTTAGAGCGGTCATTACCGATCCGATTGGTACAGGCATCCGCTCCCTGGGAAGCGTTCGCGGTGGCCCTCGCCGTCCCGGAGCATAGTTCCACCTGCCATTTCACGCCGCTAATCGTCCCGGGCAAAACCGATATAATCGAACCATTAGGAACGAATTCACCGAACTGGCAAAAACCAAGCTAACAAATTACCCTGTAGCCGTTGTTGTTTGAATAAAAATTTTATTACTCAATTGATCTTCCAGCAGCCAGTCGAAAAGATTTGTTTTGGAGCATTAAGAACTTTAAGAAGAAAATTAAAGTCCAAAGTTTTAAGTTTATACTACGAATTTGAATGTACAAAGCTCGAATATCGATTAGATATTCGACAAGCTTCGTACATTCATAGTCATTAAAAAGTAAAAATTATCATTAAAAGTAAAATGTATGGAAGATTTCAATATTGTTCATACAAGTACACGCAAAGCGCAACCACATGTTTAGTTTTCCAAAACGTTTGCTGCGTAATAAATTTTGTCCTTAAAGAAGTTACGAGACTGAAAATTTTGTGCCCCGTTGATATGGATCTTTCTTACGCGCGTGTGTTCCTAAACATTTAAGCGCATTATTTACAAGGCAAGGCCCGAATTACGATGAGACAAATATCTCTGGTCGGAGCTTTTTCGTCCGCACGTTTACACAGTGGAAGCGGAGATCATTAAAAAGAGTTTGGCGTTTTATATACATACAACAATGAGAGACAATTGATATAGAGATGTTTTATTATGGAACCAGACTGTTTTTTTATATTCGGTATAACTTAAAATCAAACCACAACCTCACAAGAATAAAAATATTTATCGTATTATTTATACCAATTTTAAAATCAAATTGTTATATAGATCTCTGCAATGGAAAATTCTGTGGTTACTTACAAAATTTGTTGTACCTAATATAGGAAAAAGTAGAGGATGGGAGCAGATCGTATTTTACATAATTTTAGAAATTAAAACAAAAAAATGACTACTAAGTTTAAATTCCATGTCTATAAGACAGAAACGTATCACGCCAACATAATGGCTACTTCGCTACACAAGCATAACTTGTAACGAAGACTACATTATTTTAAGGTACATCTGATAACATGCTAAATCATTGCATTCTATAAACAATGAAATTTATTTGCTTTTATCACACCTTTGGCGGCAAGACACACGTAGGAATAAAGGTAGAGAAATATATAAAATATGCTGCTTAATAACAACCCAATAAAAACATCTGCAAATTACATAATAATATCAAAAAGTACTTAATTAGTTTTCCATTTTAAAGATAATGAAGTCAATAAGAATAATTTAAACATGAAATGACAAAAAGCAAGTTCCATACAAGATTTAAAGTAAAATGTATTAATTACGTTCTGTGGATGACAGTGAGATTGTTGGAGAATGTCGTTTAAGTTGATACGCGTAATTGAACGCTATATATCAAAGCATCCTGTGCAAACTTGTGTATGCAGATCGTCGGGATGTTATCGTAATTACTAGGAGGAGGGTCGACATCCGCCTGGTAATCAATCCTCTTTAAATTACGTGCTACGTAACGAGGACTTTCACCCTTTCCAAACTGAATAATTGATGTCGGCTACGTAGTAATAAAAATATTAACATCGCACTTTGTTCTTGTTAACTTAGTTTCATTTGACTATTTTGCTCTGTGAGCGGCCACAGATTCAAGATCTTTCACGTTCTGTGGCTTTTGCTTTTATCTGTGTATATTTTATGTGTGTATAAGCTACAGTTGAGGGCGCAGCCTAATGATATCGGACATGTTTGAGAAATTTAAAAATTGTATTGATTTATTGTTATTGTAATATTTCGGATATTTCCAGGGGTGCTTTGAAAACCTCTCCCCCATTACTGGTCCTGCAGGCCATCGACAATATGCCATCGGCAATATAATCATTGTATTTTAATAGCCTTTATAAATAAAGTGAATTCGATATTTTTGAAAGCTTTCCGTAGTGGCAGATAGTACAAATTAAAAGACATTTTCATTAAACTTCACATAAAATAAATTGACATTATAGAGAGACTTTTCAAAAAGAGGTAAAGAAGATATATTTTGTGATTAATTAAATTACTTTTTTTGATTTGCGAAACAAAAAGCGATGCAGATTTCACTTTTATCGACTTTTTCATCCACGGAAAAAATATTCGTACATAAATAAATACTACGCGAATCTAAATATAAATAAAAACTATGCAATTGTAACTGCTATATATATAACTACAATAACTGAAAAGGTGATTGGAACATTTTCTTGAAATGGTCAATGAAAATGTATGTTATGATAATAAAATATGGTACTTAAAATAATGGTATTTAAAAAAATGGTTTGTAAAATAATGAAAAGTTAAAAAAAAGAAACAGGTCCCACCGAGATTTGAACTCGGATCGCTGGATTCAGAGTCCAGAGTGCTAACCATTACACCATGGGACCGTTGTGTGCCGAATTTGAAAGTTACGATGAAATTCAAGCCAGCACAACATTATTAAAATCAAGAATACAGTAAAATCATAAGCAATTGTCTAACTATTCGTACTCTTCAAGATTCTTGTTTTTCCTTATACATTAATTGTAATTACATTACGGCATCTTTGCTGCAACACATCAATGTTATTCAGATTGTTGTTAGATTCATGTCTAATGGAACTGGAACAACTAATTGTTTACTGGACTTATCGAGGTGCCACAGTGACCGTGGTCCCGATTCAACGCTCAAGTAATGACGATAATGATCATCCGTTACGTGAAGTGTGTTCCATAACCATTAGGTATGTAACCGTCCCGAGACTGTATCACGCTTGCTTAGATCGTAATTAATACCACTGAACTGAACGATATATCGATCCCAATCATTTAGATTATTGCGATGTCGAATCTTAGACTAACTTCATTGCTTCAAAATGCTTAGATTTTTATTTATATTTTTAGGAAGTTTTGAAACTGTTACAGTACAGCTTCTTCAGATCTGCAGTTCTTAATTAACTTATTGAGTTTATATTAATAGAAAGAGAACGGATTGCCCCTTACAACGACAACTATTTCAGTAGTTAGATACTCTTAGATACGTCTTTTATGTTTATTTTTTATCAGCGTCGATTACTTTCTTATATAATATTCTCTAAGATATTTCTCTGTTGCGGTTTCAAAGGTATTTAAGAAAATATTGATCAAAATGCTTATGTAATATTATACCATGTAGGTAATAAAATATTTGACGACTTGATTTTCTTACTTAAACTACAAATTACTATATAATATACTTGGCTGGGAAAATCGAAACAATGGTACGAAATAACATAAGATATCGGTAAATTTAGGTTCAAATGCACCCTTTATCTGTACCTAAGTTGTTTTTCAACATATCTATGAGACAAAAAGTATGGCACCCACCGAGCCACGAAATATTCCTACGCTAAAATCATAACAATCCGTCGCTTTGTGGAAGAAGGTAAATTATTTCTAATATAATCATCATTATTACAGTGGATACGTAGCAGAGATATTTGTCCGGCGACTTCTAACTGAAGTAAACAACAACAACAACAGATACAACGCCATCTATTGGACGGTAACATAAACGTTTCAGAAACCTCTTTTTAACTTTTATAATTCAATAATGCTTTAAATAACTTTAGCTATTTTTGCGAAGAGACGTAATAACTATAGATTTAAACCTTAGATATGTACAAAGTAATATTTCATTTTTCTAGGATGGAAAGCAAGTGAACCAAGGAGCAGCGGGTAAAAAGTAATTCAGTATTCACCGCCCATGGAAACTTGCAACATTAGAATATAACAGAGAATTTATTTGCCCTCTATCGCAAAGCATATGGATTTATTACTGTTTTTTCTAAATCTTTATTTCGTCCTATTGAAATTTCAGAAAAGTAGTTTGAAAACATTAGACCTATGTTCATAGAATATTTTCTATTTTTAAGGTACCCACTAAATTATTTTAATGTTTTAAATATGAACTACAGACGTATATTGGTTAAATTGACTGCATGTCAATTAATACGCGTTACCTTATTTTCCAAAATTGCAATAAGTACCTACGATTCTCTCAGTCAGGGCTTATTTTTTTTTTATTAATTTACAACAAAAAAGTCTTATTATTGGGTTGTCATGAAAAAAGGTTTTTCTAATTTTTATGAATAATAAAAAACTACTTGAAATACTCTTATTACAATAATGTTCCAGAGTAGCTCAATTGATGTTAATGAAACCGATGAAAGTTCCAGAGATTTAATTTTATGAAATTTGGTATCTTCGATCGGTTGTTACAGTTATGCCTGTAATCCTAAGTACATATTACTCAGATGCAGATAACGTACGCTCCCAGATGCGCAGAGTGGTCGGCCTTGAAGCTTATGTGCACGACCTCACATCCAATATCTAGTTGCTCGTGGATGCTAATTGACCGCTGTTCGATGACCACTGTCAAGGAATGCAGGACCGGTGAGGTCCTTACCACGCTTACTTAATTGTTATTCACAATTGACGAGAGATTTACCAATTC